CCGCCCCATGGGTATCCCGGTCGCGGCCGGCTACGACAGAGCCTGGATTCGAACCAGGATCTCTAGTGGCACAGCCCTAGACCACTGCGCCACTCGGGAGGTTACCTATGTTAATATACCCACAAGCAAGCATACAAGGCCCTCCCTCGCCCCCCTTCAGCAAATCAGATCATGACTCTATACTCCTGATCCTGTCTACAAGCAGAAGCTCAAACAGGAAGTACCTGTGACGCTCCGTAGAGAAATTGTCCTCCATACTGGAGGCTATGCTACAGGACTGCTTTGCTAGCGCTGACTGGAATATGTTCCGGGACACAGCCGATAGCATCGACGAGCTAACCCCCTCTGTCACCAGCTTCATTTGGAAATGCATCGCCGACGTTGTCCCCACAGTGAATGTTCGCTGCTTCCCCAATCAAAAATTCAGAACTAACACAGAGGTTGGCGCTAAGGTAAAGAACAGGGCTACCGCACACAGGGCTTTCGCAGCCAACCCCGAGGCTATGGCTGAGGACACAAACAAGTACAAGAAGTCCCGCTACGACCTTCGCAGAGCCATCAAAAGGACAACATAGGAACAAGATGGAATCCTATTACACATGCTTCACCGCCCGCTGCATGTGGCAGGGGCTACAGTGCATTATGGATTAAAGGAAACCCCAGCCTTGATCTGCCCAACGATGCCTCCCTACCAGACGAACTCAATGCATTTTATGCATGCTTCAACAAAAACATCCCCAACATCTCGCTCTCCAAGGCCTTCGTGAATAAGGTTTTTAATCAGGTCAACACTCGCAAGGCTGTAGGGCAGCCAGTGTTGCCAACTCCTCAGCAAGGAAAGTAGCTATTGGCTGTCCTAAAAGTCGATAGAAGTCGCTAAAGGACGTCATCACCTACTTTGCATAATTGGCCATGTGCATGTAATTGTGATGGATGCTGTAGGAGAGAGGAATAACGTCGTGGGAGAGACAAAAAGTGAGTAAAAACTCCCTCAATATGTTTAGAACTACAAATTAACTTTCTTCTGTCGATTCTTGTTTTTGTAAATGTTTTACATTTACATCCCTCCCTGAATGTAAGCCAGGCCGGGATCAGCCAGCGGCGGCTTCCCGCATGCACGATTCATTTGCAGTCTGGACGCGGAGGAGTGAACATCTCCTGCTCTGACTGCAGCTGGGAGGGACTGCTGCGCGAGGACTGGGCCGCCTGTGAGTGCTTTGGGACGGGGGGGTGGGGCCCACGGCAGCACCTGCTGCTCGTTGAGAAGAGTAAGAACGATACGTGCTTTCTCGTCAGAGTCTCCAAAAGTCTCCAATAACACCAGAAAAAGTCACTAGATTTGTCGCTAGTCGCTTTTTTGAAAATGTGTCGCTAGAGGGGTCTGAATACTCGCTAAATATAGCGACAAAGTCGCTAAATTGGCAACACTGGTGGGGCCGGACGGTATTCCAGGGCACGTTCTCAGAGCATGCGCAGAACAGCTGGCAGGCATATTCAAGTTAATTTTCAAACTCTCTTTGTTCCAGTCTGTAATCACTGCATGTCTCAAGCTGATCACCATCATTCCTGCTCCCAAGTCTAGCTGCCACAATGACTACCAACCTGTAGCACACATCTGTAATCATGAAGTGATTTAAAAGACTGGTTATGGTACACATCAACTCCATCATCCCAGACACCCTAGAACAGGGATCATCAACTAGATTTAGCCGGGCCAATTTTTTCTTGAGCAGATGGTTGTGGGGGCAGAACATAATTACAAATCATTTGCAAATTGACCACAAGATCTTTCTAAGGGAAAACATGTCCTGTAATGTGTGTGATAAGACTATCATGCCATTTAGGCTTCATATTTATAAAGTAAATCTGACACAGGCTACAACTCATATCAAATTATTTCCCTGGAGACCTTTACTTGGAGTCAGGAGTTAAATACTACCTAGTATTGTGAACAGACCATTAAACACAATGAGCACACTGGACATGCACACTCTGGTGTACTCTGAGCGAGGGAGTCTTCCTACTGTACACACTGTGCTGGCCCATTTGGCTTGTAATGAGAGGACATAGCATCTGCTGCTGCAATCAGGCAACACAACAATGGCCATTACATCACATTAGTCAACCCTGTACATATTGTGCTGGAGATCAGAGGGGGGGCAGTATGAAAAATGTATGCACTCACTAATTGTAAGCCGCTCTGGATAAGAGCGTCTGCTAAATGACTAAAATGTCAATTGGATCACAAAAAAAAAAAAAAAAGATTGGGTATGCCCAGCCTGGAGAGTCTGCAGAGATAGGACCACAATAATGTCCTTTCAGGTTACAAGTGTCCAGTCACATGTAGTGTGCTAACTATTTATTACAATGTCATTACTAATCTGTCGAACTATTTTCCAGACTAAAATGCTCTTAGAACTACGTTTCTCTCTTCAAGTCCCTGTAGTCTACAACGTGGCTAATTTATAAGTACACAGTGCATTCAATTATCAATGTATCTCCCTAATAATAAAACTTCCATCACACTCAATGTAACCTCACACACTGAACTGCTTATGATTCCTGATTGATTTGTTCCCCAAGGTACACTATTAGTCTTCACCATGTAGGCTGATAATCAATGACTTTTACATGTTCACAACTTAACTGTATCCAAAAGGCCTGAGGGGAAATCAATAGTGCTTTTATGTGACAGTAATACTCTGATCAATACTTGGTCATTACATTCACATACACACAGTGTGTCTAGGTGACACAAAAGTACATTTTCTTCCACTCAGGAGGTTTATTGAACACCACACATGAATACAAGCTGATTGTTGAGAATGTCCATCATGAAACATACAAGCATTGTCTTAAGTCAGGTGGTGCCACTCCTACGCGTTACTCTTCCCCCAACTGACAATCAGTGCAGACGATTAGTCACGCTATCTGATGTAAGACAATGACATACAAAAAGACACAAAGTATCTCCAGATTCAAGCATTCAGACTGACTTTGTGAGTGCATGATAAGGTAACAGTCAGTCGGTTCAATCTTACATCTGAATCTGTCTCCCATCAAATGTGACTTTGCCTTAGCAACAATGCCCCATGCCTCTTTTTGTACAATTGCAGTCAAAGGCCTGATTGTGCTTTTAAAAGGCGTCCGCATGCTTCCCAGTCTAAACAGTTATGACGGCATTGGGACGTTTTTGTTAGTTTTGGACTTCAATAAAGGTTTTTTCGGCTGTTCGAGCACACAACATTTTTCTTGAGGCAAGCCGAAGTTGGTTGCCGAAGTCTACGCCCCTTAGTCAGTGATTGGTCAACAGTAGGGATTCTTCAATTAAGTCTTTGTTGTCGTTCAACGAGACGACTCATTTTCATACACATTTTTTATTGAAAATACTGCACCAAACATCTTAGTTAGAAGTAAAATTGCGCGACTAAGAGCTCCTCGGCAAAAACGATAAAATTAATGAGCGATTTTTTGAATTATCTTAGATTAATTCTGACTATTTCGAGGAAGTGTATACTACTACGGTGTCTCAAAATGGACAAACAGTACTATTGTCGCTTTTTTCTCATTTTTCAAGCGAAGGTCTTTTAAGGGAGTATGCAAGCACACTCATTCGGTTCGCCTAGCCGGGCCAGCCGAACTGAAGCATGCTGACACCTTTATCTTCCACAATTACCCACATCCTGGTGATTGTGATGGGCTACTTTGAAAAGGTGTCTCAAATTTTCAGTAGTCAAACGCCACACTCCCTTTAAGCTTAAAAATATATATGCTAATACTAATCATTGATTCGACTTATACACTGAGTGAACAAAAACATTAAGGACCACTGCTCTTTCCATGACAGACTTACAAGGTGAATCCAGGTGAAAGCTATGATCCCTTATTGATGTCACTTATTAAATCCACTTCAGTCAGTATAGATGAAGGGGAGGAGACAGGTTAAATAAGGATTTTTAAGCCTTGAGACATGGATTGTGTATGTGTGCCATTCAGAGGGTGGTGAATGGGCAAGACAAAATATTTAAGTGCCTATGAACGGAGTATGGTATTAGGTGCCAGGTGCACCGGTTTGTGTCAAGAATGGCAACGCTGCTGGGTTTTTCCAAGATTAATAGTTTCTCGTGTGTATCAAGAATGGTCCACCACCCAAAGGACATCCAGCCAATTTGACACAACTGTGGGAAGCATAGGAGTCAACATGGGCCAGCATCCCTGTGGAACGCTTTCGACACCTTGAGAGACCATGCCTCGACGAATTGAGGCTGTTCTGAGGGCAAAAGGGGGGGGTACAACACAATATTAATATAAGGAAGGTGTTCTTAATGTTTTGTACATTCAGTGTATTGCGCTTCTCTAGACACCCAAAGCGCTTTACATTGTAACGGGGACGCTCACCTCACCTCATCCACCACCATGATAAACCTTCAAGAAAATGTGTGACACAAATACATCATTTTTTTCACATAAGAGCGCTTCCAAAGAAAGTAAAGTAATTTTCAGTGCAGATAAACCCCCAAACCACATAAACCCAAATTATATTAGGTCAAGCTCATCCATTGTATTGCCATGATAAATAGTCAAACAGTAATACTAAATGTGGTTAATATAAAAGTAATTTAACATGTCTGTAGACTAGAGTATGTATCAAGTTGTAACAGTTACTGCTCAACTATGTAGCTCTCTCTCTTTGTGATATTAGAAACATTCAAGTATGACCATTCAAGTCTTTTCTGAACAGATTTTGGTATACGTAAACAATGCCTTTATATCGATTACCTATTCTTTTTTTATATTCTCATTTAAAAACAGCAGCAAAATAATGCCTTCTACATATGCAATATATTGGTTGCCAGTGTCACACCCTGAGAATATTGACCTTAGAGGAGGAGTTGGAGCAACTACAGGAGCTCCCTTTGACCTTCCACCTCCAGTCTACAGACCCCTGAGTTCTCCCAACCCCTTCTCACCCTGGGGCTCTGGGCTGCAGACAAACCACTCTAGCCTGCCCCCTGCTGGAGGTTCCTGTCATAGTTCTCCTGGCAGATGCTGATGCGCTGGGTGAAATACTCTGGGTCTGAGATGGCCCTGAGCAGGTCGTTCTGGACCAGACAGAGGTCATACAGCTCTGAGGTGGAGGCTGTGCGTGTCTCTGAGCTGTCTCGGTCCAGGAACACCTTCAGAACCATGGAACAAGAACAGAAACACCATGAGGATATTTAAGGCAAACAACTTATCTGCAAGGGGAAACATCCACTTCCATATGAGTATGCACAAACCATCCAAAAGCACATTAACCGAGGCAAAAACATACCTTTGGATGGACGATGGTGTCTTTGTCATTCTGTCGAATGTTGTCATCGATGAAGATGTGCTGGACATCCTGGTCGAAGGGGTCCACCCACAGAGGTTTCCCTCCCAGGATGGAGTAGGTGTTCCTGGCCCACCTACAGATAGAGACCATTGTCCTGACTACATCAACGAGACTGAAACTTTCATTGAGGTCAATGCAGAAAGAACTTCTACATTACAAATAAAACTTGGGCTAAATTACCTATTCAAAGATGGATTTATGAGCTTGCCAGAAAACTAGGGCACCTCCAATACTAGAGTGCCTTCATTGGTGTGATTAGGCTAGACGTTAGTCTTTTGTAAAAGGTCCACCTACCAGTCAAAATGGTCCTGGAAGCCCCCCAGGCATTGGACAGAGCTGAGGTACTGGTACAGGGCTCGCTCCCCGTCACGTGTGGACAGACGCTCCTCTGCCCGGGTCAGGACCGCCCCCTTCTTACTGCAGCGGATCTGGCCTGGTGTCTCATTCACACTCAGCTGGGGAGGGAGCAGAAAGAACACAGCTGGCTTTAACATCTCTTATACTCTCTCTGATCGGCAGTTTATTAGAGATGTACAGGTATCAGGTATCTATCAGAAATTATGGAAATCATCTGTACTTCAGCATAGCTATCATTTTAGAATGAGAGGAAACAATTATGCTTACAGGTCATGCAAGTTCCAAACCTGCTAAATCAAATTATCCTCTTTCACCCTCAAACTCTGTGCCGAGACTCTTACAGAAATATCCCTTGACAGGAGACAGTTTGAATAAGTCATCATCTGGATGTTTATTTATGTTTTTGCAGCTAACTGTGTGTGCCGTAGCAGCCTTTGAGCCTCCTCCCTGCAGAAATCGATGTGTTCTGCTCCAGTAAACGAACAGGTACAAGAACAGGGTGAGGAGGCTGAGAAGAGCCTGCAGGCACACTCTATACCCAGGGGAGTAGCACCACCAACCCTACATCTCACTGTGAATGACCTTCTGAACAGGGCACTGTTCAATCTTCTGGGAACAAGCTTACAGATTTTTGACCCCTATATCCCACTGCCACAACCTCACAAACACACACAAGCCCAGACGCATGCACACACACACACACACACACAATAACTGTAGTCTTTCAGAAGAAACAGACTTGGCCCAAGCTGAAAAATTGGTCTATAATTGTGAAGTGTGGTTGATCTCTTAATTCAGGCAGAGGAGGAAGAACATCACTTCTCTCAAAGGACTATAACTCACTCTCAGTAGCATAGCCACCTGTAACATAGTGTCACTCTCTCAATGACAAGCTGCAACAGAGAGCCTACAATGAGTAATGATTGCAATTACTGGGCTATTGGCAAGTTAGCTAACAGTAGTGATTATGATAAGAGCAATGTGCCTATTTAATATGGTAGCCAGTGAGTAAGAGCTTGGTAAAATGCCAGGACAACAATCATTATTGCAACTGTCCTAATGACACCACATCCAGCATCACACCCTCAATCACCACCCAAAGCACTCATCAAAATTGTCAAAGACTCCAGTCACCCAAGTCATAGACTGTTCTCTCTGCTACCGCACGGCAAGCGGTACCGGAGCACCAAGTTTAGGTCCAAAAGACTTCTACCGCCGAGTGGCGCAGTGGTCTAAGGCACTGCATCGCAGTGCTAGCTGTGCCACTAGAGATCCTGGTTCGAATCCAGGCTCTGTCGTAGCCGGCCGTGACCGGGAGACCCATGGGGCGGCGCACAATTGGCCCAGCGTCGTCCAGGGTAGGGGAGGGAATGGCCGGCAGGGATGTAGCTCAGTTGGTAGAGCATGGCGTTTGCAACGCCAGGGTTGTGGGTTCGATTCCCACCGGGGGCCAGTATGAAAAAAATAATAATGTATGCACTCACTAACTGTAAGTCGCTCTGGATAAGAGCGTCTATTAAATGACTAAAATGTCTAAAATGTAAGCCATAAGACTGCTGAACAATTAATCAAATGGCCACCTGGACAATTTGCATTGATACCCCCTTTGTTTTAACACTGCTGCTACTCGCTGTTTATTATCTATGCATAGTCACTTTACCCCTACCTACATGTACAAATTACCTCAACTAACCTGTACCCCCGCACATTGACTCGGTACCTGTCCCCCTGTATATAGCCTCATCACTTTTATTTTTATTTATTTATTTTTATTTATTTTACTTATTTAGTAAATATTTTCTTAAAACTGCATTGTTGGTTAAGGGCTTGTAAGTAAGCATTTCACGGTAAGGTCACGTATTCGGCGCATGTGACAAATACAATTTGATTTGATTTACCTTAAGTGCTGGAAGGTCAGGGAAGAGTGGGTGGGAGCCCTGAGTGAGGGCACGGGACACTGCAGACAGCACGCGGGGAAGGTCTGAGCCAAAGGTGCGGAACAGGATAGCAAAGTCCCTCCCCTCTGCCACCAGGTCTTTCAATAGCTGGAAGAAAGAGGGCAAGATCCAGTGGTACAGCTGTCCGTCCTCCCCCTTCACAGCCAGCTCCTTGTCCCCCTTCAGCTCCTCTGGCCATCGCAGCATCGCCAAGTGCTCGTCCAGCACGCCCCGGAACCGACGACCTGCAGTGGAGCTGGTGAAGCCTGCCACCCGGCCAAACTGCGAGTAGTAGCTGACAGCGCCCTCACATGGTGGGAGTAGGGAAGGTGAGTCACTCATCCACATCCATTTACCTACAGAGCACATAAAGAAGCAGATGTTAAGCAATTGCACACAGCAATGACATCACCATGGCAGGTAGGCACAGTAGTGATTCCACTTATTGAATTGTCATGTCATTTATAGAAAAAGGATAGAGGTGTGCCACTACATAGTAAGTGGGGCATCTGCTCCTTAAGAAATATTTAGGATAATTTTCATTTTTATAGAATAGACCACTACTTCAAATAAAACTGGCTACATGTAGGAACTAAGTGGCTTTTTAGACTGAGGTCGCCTGGCCCCTAAGAGGCTTGTCACTTATATTGCAACCTGGTCTTACCTTGTTTACTCATTTGTCCCCATGTCACAGTGGAAATAAAGTAATCCAAAGCTGCAATAGTTCCTTGACTTGTCACGGCATCAGACACCAAGATGGTGTTATTGAGGTCAACGTGAAGGACAAGCTTTTTCTTCTTTAGATACAACCCTTTAGGGACAGACACTGTCAGGGCTTCTTCAGTGGCACAGTAATCATTCTCATTTCCTTTGGAGTGTGGAGTCGGCTGCTTATCTGTCGCCGGGTCATGTCCATTACGACTGTCCTTATTGTTTAGACAAGCTAAGGGATGATCACCGGTCTTGTCGCAGTATGCCATGATGTGGCTCCACTCTCGAATTATCGGTTGTGGAAACCTACTTTTCTTTGACTAACTAGCTAGCTAACCAAGTTGTCAATGAGTTTAGCCAGAGGGTTTTAAGGCAAGTTACTGAAACCAGAACCTCTTCGTCCACAACAGTAACTCGATTTGTAGCTAGCTAGCTACATGGCTATAAGACAGCTATTACACTTGTCAAAACAGGTTCGTTATGTAGTAAAACATTTTCTTTAAATTAGCTGTCTAAGTTTGTACAACTAGTCACATAAACATACCACCCTACCGGCTTTTCCGTTGACTCAGCGCCAGAAAATGTTTGTTTTTACTTCCTCATTGTGAAACGCCGTTTCTTCTTCTCTTACTGTAAAGTGTGGAGTCTGCAAGTAAATACAGTAAGAAGCGCCATCTAGAGGAGCAGTGCCGGTTGGAGGACCAACAACTTCACACAGAACATTGTACACAAACTGAGGGTAAAAAAACCCCCATCTGATTTGGTAAAGAATTAAACGTTCCCAAACGTATCTCTGCCAGGCAACTTCATTCACGTCACTACTGAATCAGTCTGTGTACACAAACAACCTTTTAGCGCTTCTCAAAAAGGGTTTTATTTATATTAAACCATTTATATTTTATTCACAGCAGCATTCTCATTATGCAGTCCATTACAAAGGAAGGGAGAGGAGGGGTGTACAAGACAGTCCACTCAAACAGAAATAAAGATATGTAGCAGGAGAGGTAACCGCATTTTATTCTAGGGCTACTGTGTATCAACATGCACATTTCAGTGTATATCAAGCTGGTATCTTGCCAAAAATTGCATCCACAGGATTGGATAATTTACCAAGTAAAAATAAAATAAAAATCTAAAGGAAAGCAACTAAATCCAGATGGGTATGAAAGTAGTAAACAGAAATCCAGTAACTTGTTACAAAACAAACTTAAAAAGGTAGACTCAGTGAAATGACATTGCCACAAGCAGCACCAGAGATAGAGATGAGCGAGATGCAACACTTTGCTCTCACACAGTCACACCATGTATCTGTGCATGTGCACGGGTTCGCTTCACGCTGTTCACAGTGTGGTAGCCAGAGCACCAAAACAGCAGAGAAACTGAGCCTCGCACTTCAACACTCTTAGTTGTTGCGGAAATTGACCCACTATGCCATTTACTTTCTGCATCTGTCATATCGCTGAGTCTACCTTTAATTTATGCACCATCACACTTTTACATCAATTGCTACAATTTCAACCCAGCTTACAGAATCCAACAAAAATCACAAAACACATCAGACCAGGCAATACCTCAATGAGAAGTATCAAAGAAAAACACAAACAAATGCTTACACAGACACATCTCCCATCCTCCCACCTCACCGTTTCCCCTCATTCACAACAGGCTGTTGTTGTGGGGGGGGAATTAGTTTGGTGTTGGCGACCTCCCTTTGTGACCTCTGAGCCAAAGCATGATCATGGGATAAATAGGTGTCATTTCAAGTGGCGTTTTAGGGGATACCCAAACAAAGGTGCATTTGTGAGCGGCAGGGCCACCAACATTGTCTAGATGGGCTGTTGAGCACTTCTCTTCTATCAGCCAACAATGGGCTGCAACCCGGGGGCTCTAGGACAACAGGAGTGTGGAGGCTTTTGTTGTAAGTGCAAACATGCTGTTTGTATTTGTGTGTGTGTTTAGTATGTGTGAGGAAATGCATTGCATGGATATTCCTACATATACAGTATGAGTTGGTCTGTATCAGTTGATGTGTAAATACAGATGAACGTGGAAAATGTGTGAGTCTGTGGGTCTGTCCACCGCATCTGTGGTGACGGGTACATGTGCTGGTCTTTCGGCCACAGAACCAGTTCTTTAATTTCTAGCATTGCACCACTGAGGGGACACCCTAAAGATGCCGAGTTAATTAGTAAGCACTGAAGTGTCTTTTACTGAGGAGAATATTTCCACAGCTGGAACTTTATGCCATGTCGTTGGCGTCTCAGCCATGCCCTAGTCCACCTCCTCCATGTTGCTGTAGGACGGAGCAGCACATTCTCCAGAGTGTGCAAACAGCTCAGAGGTCACTTCTGGGGTCAGCAGAGGGGGTCCTTCAGGGTCCAGGTCTGTCCCAAAGAGTGCCTGGCTAGAGGCCTGTAAAATAAACCATTGTTATAAATCATGCCTTTTCTGGACCAGCTACCTGACAGGAAGACCAGACCTGTTTGTAAACAATGCAAAAGCAAAATCACTGGACTGACAGACCGACCCACTCTGTGCAGCAAAAATAAAACATAACATCATTTCCAACTGGCAGGACAATTTCCATGTTTGAAATAATATCCGAAAGATTCCAGACAGTAACTGATTGAAAAATAATATTCATTAACACAGCATAAGACTGACATTTTATATTAAATAGCAGTACAAGTGCTTGTTTATTGCAGCAGCATTGAGATGGAAGTACCTGAACAAATTATTGCTGGGAAATGTCCTTTCTTTTTAAATAATAGCAACTATTCCAATTACAGAGCGCTCTTAAAAGGAAAATTCCTGCCAAAACCTACCTTTTGGTATTTGTTTCATTAGTCCATTGTTGATATAGTCCCAAAATCTTTTGCATGTCAGCAATTACGTTTTCAAGATATATATCTTTCAAAATACAGCCGGTATGATGCATTTTATGATGCATTTTAAATTAGATGAAATACGTACTGCATACTATCACGATTGCATAAATCAATGTGTATGTGCCCAGACACATACTGGGCATTTAAAGCAGATATAGTGACTAGACTCAGCCTCTGAAAACCCACCTACAAGGGAGAGACATTACAGAATGCACTGTGATATCCCTAAGACTTGAACATATTACTACAACACTGTTACAGGGTGTAGTCCATTTACCAGCAGCACAGATAATCATGAAATGTTGTAGCAACTTATAGAGAGATGGACGGCATCTCTTTCCTAATGTCCTTAAATCCCTCCTAAACTAGGAACTGTTTATACTGTACATCAGTGCACTTAGAGGCCGCTTCTCAAACAGTCATAAAGCTTGGACATAGCTAGCTACTTCACCAAAAGTGTAATGCAAAGCAGCACATTAAAAAGGTTACTTTTGTTTAAAAGGCTTTCATGAAACAAAGAGAAAACAGTTCCAATACAAGTACGACAGGGATAAGTAAAATGTATGGACAGAAATAAATAAACCTGCTGAATTAAGAGCCATTGACAACATAAAATCTAAAATAATCAGCAACATGACAAACAGGAAAAAGCTAAGGCATATAATAGCTTAGTGAGTCTAAACACTATTCATTGAGAAGGCAAAAACACAATTTTAGCTGTCTTCAGGCTACAGTACAAAGTCATGACTGTACAAGCAAGCAGATACGCCCATCATACAATCACTGGGGTGGTGCTAAAGGATTACATATCTGTGAGTGAGCAGTACTACACTGCATTATTCGCTCACCAACTGAACACTATTACAGTAGGACTTCAACACTATAGCCTTCAAGTCATCTCAGCAGCATTACTTGGTGGGCCTATCCATTTCTTAAATGTGCATTTCATATTTTAGTACTAAAAACCTACATGGTGAGAGACTTGGGAGGAACACAAATAAAGGGGAGAGTACGTTTGAGATCTGTTGAGGTATGCTTGAACTAGAATCTAGGGTAGATTTTAAGGGCCTAAATTATGGACTGCAGTACGCCCAAAAAAATAAAGATAGTCAACCAGGCCAAGCCATGCTGAGCAAAGTAACTAGTAGAAGCTACATTGGAACTCAGTCGGTTTCTCTTTAATGATGCATAGCCTAGATTTGATTAAAGGACATCCTGTGTATAATTTCATTTTATTTCAATGTGTTTAGCAGAATGTTGATTTATAGGCCATCTACAAATAAATAAAAAATATATCTAATGGCATAGACATTTCATTTAAAGTGCAATAAATTTTACTTTTAATTTCTCAGTGTATAAGCTTGCATGTGCGTCTGTATGCGGGTGTGTATGCAATAGGGTGTGAGACTGGCCACTTAGCCCCAGTTGGCTCTGTAGAGCAGGTCCAGGAACAACGCTAGCAGAGCAGCCAAGGTGCCCAGGACCAAATATCGGATGCAGTCGTCATCGGAATAATCAGAGATCCTTTGGCGCCGCCGTCGCACCTGCCCCTCCACCCCCTCCACCCTCCTTCTGGCTGCTCTTCTTCTCCCCAGCCTGGTGCGGAACAGGCCCCGGGGGCCCTCCTCAAGACCCTCCTCTTCCTCCTCCAGTTCCTGCCATATTAGAGAGGCCTGCGATGGTGGAAACCTGTGTCAGCTTCTGGGAAAGGCTTGGTGCTAAAGCACCGTCCCCTCACCACAGCCAGACTTCCAGGGGCAGGGGTCGGCAACAGGTGGTTTCTTTTGGCCACCCAAAGGGGGGGGGGGGGGGGGGGGGGGGGGAGTCAGCTAATTCAGCATAATAAAGGTATGAAATGATTGTTATTTTCAAACACAATCTCTTTTTGGGTTTAGTTGTGGTCAATTTGCTGTGTAAATTATTATGTTCCAGCCCTCCGACCATCAACTTCGTCAAAAATCGTCCCGCAGCTGAATCGAGTTGCCTACCCCTGCCATAGGGTCAAGAACAAGCCAGACTCTTTCAAGGAATACATTACTGTGGTTCTGACAAATTAACCAAGACACCTCTCACTCATTCACATGGCATACACAGCATGAGGACAGCTCAGAGCGATGTGAGGGGAGCCTTTCAGAAAGCAGATGGATAGACAGAAATGTGGTGTCTCATATCTTTCTTTTTAAGAGTTAGCTAATAGATTAATTAAATCACACATATTTAGACAGACTCCAACCCCCAATATAAACTCATGAGTTCAAGAGAAATGTACCATACACTCAATCATTTTCATAGGCATGAACAGACAGCTTCCACAAAGGTGTGACTTGATCGTGAATACACACAGCCCCAACTTATTCATTCTGGTAATTAACTTTGTTTTCAGCATTTGGACAGAAAACAATGCATCTTAAATGCCAATACAGATCAGATCAAAGGGTCTAGAGAAAGCTCATGTCTGTCACTTCAAAAATGTGCACAGGATAATAAGTTGTAAGTGTGAATGGCTTTTTCTCAAAGCACCTGTTCAATTTAGAAACAGGTTGTCTTGTATCAAACACTTTTGATGAACAAACCAATGGCCTTGAGAGCAATGAAATTAGATCCAACCTCTTTCTCTCATCCAGAAGCAGAAACACACATTAGCCCCCTGGCATCTGAGATCATTTCTCAAAAAGGACCACAAGCAAGCAATCAAATATCACTCCATGAAGAGGAATAGATTAACACAGTATTACATTTCTCACTCATGTGGTGAACATCTAATCTCAGAAAATTACAATATACCTCAAGAAAGTTTAATTGAATTCACTCATGCTGCACTATGCCTTGAAGAGGTTTTCCTACTACCCCCATATAATGGATCCTGGTACAGTGGGGGAAAAAAGTATTTAGTCAGCCACCAATTGTGCAAGTTCTCCCACTTAAAAAGATGAGAGAGGCCTGTAATTTTCATCATAGGTACACGTCAACTATGGCAGACAAAATGAGATTTTTTCTCTCCAGAAAATCACATTGTAGGATTTTTTATGAATTTATTTGCAAATTATGGTGGAAAATAAGTATTTGGTCAATAACAAAAGTTTCTCAATACTTTGTTATATACCCTTTGTTGGCAATGACACAGGTCAAACGTTTTCTGTAAGTCTTCACAAGGTTTTCACACACTGTTGCTGGTATTTTGGCCCATTCCTCCATGCAGATCTCCTCTAGAGCAGTGATGTTTTGGGGCTGTCGCTGGGCAACACAGACTTTCAACTCCCTCCAAAGATTTTCTATGGGGTTGAGATCTGGAGACTTCAAGGTCCTGGAGTGGCCTAGCCAATGCTTCTTACGAAGCCACTCCTTCGTTGCCCGGGCGGTGTGTTTGGGATCATTGTCATGCTGAAAGACCCAGCCACGTTTCATCTTCAATGCCCTTGCTGATGGAAGGAGGTTTTCACTCAAAATCTCACGATACATGGCCCCATTCATTCTTTCCTTTACACGGATCAGTCGTCCTGGTCCCTTTGCAGAAAAACAGCCCCAAAGCATGATGTTTCCACCCCCATGCTTCACAGTAGGTATGGTGTTCTTTGGATGCAACTCAGCATTCTTTGTCCTCCAAACATGACGAGTTGAGTTTTTACCAAAAAGTTATATTTTGGTTTCATCTGACCATATGACATTCTCCCAATCCTCTTCTGGATCATCCAAATGCACTCTAGCAAACTTCAGACGGGCCTGGACATGTACTGGCTTAAGCAAGGGGACACGTCTGGCACTGCAGGATTTGAGTCCCTGGCGGCGTAGTGTGTTACTGATGGTAGGCTTTGTTACTTTGGTCCCTGCTCTCTGCAGGTCATTCACTAGGTCCCCCCGTGTGGTTCTGGGATTTTTGCTCACCGTTCTTGAGATCATTTTGACCCCACGGGGTGAGATCTTGCGTGGAGCCCCAGATCGAGGGAGATTATCAGTGGTCTTGTATGTCTTCCATTTCCTAATAATTGCTCCCACAGTTGATTTCTTCAAACCAAGCTGCTTACCTATTGCAGATTCAGTCTTCCCAGCCTGGTGCAGGTTTACAATTTTGTTTCTGGTGTCCTTTGACAGCTCTTTGGTCTTGGCCATAGTGGAGTTTGGAGTGTGACTGTTTGAGGTTGTGGACAGGTGTCTTTTATACTGATAACAAGTTCAAACAGGTGCCATTAATACAGGTAACGAGTGGAGGACAGAGGAGCCTCTTAAAGAAGAAGTTACAGGTCTGTGAGAGCCAGAATTCTTGCTTGTTTGTAGGTGACCAAATACTTATTTTCCACCATAATTTGCAAATAAATTCATTAAAAATTCTATAATGTGATTTTGTTGATTTTTTTTGATGAATGTTACAGGCCTCTCTCATCTTTTTAAGTGGGAGAACTTGCACAATTGGTGGCTGACTAAATACTTTTTTTCCCCACTGTGTCCCCAATGATACAGGGGAGGGGTCTCAGAGGTAAAGACTGGCACCCTCACCTGGCTGGCGGTGGCTCCTGCAGCGGTGGGGGACTCGATCCCGAGGGGCCCCAGGAAGCGAGGTGGTCGTTCCACAGGGGAGTTGCGGCGGCGGTAGAACAGCACGTAGGCATAGCGCGTCACCACCTGACTCTCCTCGACTGTCGTCACTGTGCTGTCATCAAACAGACGCCAGCCTGGGCAAGAGAAAGGAGGAGGAAGAGGAGAGGGGCAGTTTAGTTATTTTCTTCCAAGTACATTAGTATGAACAGAACACAACAAACATATGTTTAAACCAATGCTTGCCATGGCCAGAAATACAATATACACAGAGTATACAGTACCAAACATTAGGAACACCTTCCTAGAATTGAGTGGCACCCCCCCTTTCGTCCTCAGAACAGCCTCAATTCATCAGGGCATGGACTCTAAAAGGTGTTGAAAGCGTTCCACAGGGATGCTGGCCCATGTTGACGCCAATGCTTCCCACAGTTGTGTCAAGTTGGCTGGATGTCCTTTGGGTGGACCATTCTTGATACACACGGGAAACTGTTGAGCGTTGCAGTTCTTGACACAAACCAGTGCGCCTGGCACCTACTACCATAACCTGTTCAAAGGCACTTCAATATTTTGTCTTGCCCATTGTCTTGCCCCATTCATGTCTCAATTGTCTCAACACTTAAAAATCCTTCTTAAACCTGTCTCCTACACTTCATCTACACTGATTGAAGTGGATTTAACAGGTGACATCAATAAGGGATCATAGCTTTCACCTGGTCAGTCTATGTCATGGAAAGAGCATGTCCTAATGTTTTGTATACTCAGTGTATCCTACTGTGAAGCCTATTTCAGTCAACCACTCACCGACATCACTGCGCTGGCTGTTTTGGGCACTGGGCAGGCGTGCGTAGGCGGTGTAGTGACCTCCGATCATGCCCCCGTAGTGATTAATGACCGCATAGAGGTCATAGATTGGCGGCTGCTGCATGTCGTCCTTCTGACCAATACAGAACTTACTGAGGTCCAGGTTCCTGAAAGACAAGAAAACATGCTGTGATAACCTTGTCGTATTTGAGGGAATTCAACCCAAGTCATTGAGTGGTGTGAGCGAAGGGTAGTATAAAGGGTGTGATATAGTAAAGGGATAGTTCACCCAAATGATAAAATGACATACTGGTTTCTTTACACTGTAAGCGGTCTATGGACAAGGTATGACAGCAATCCATGCTTTGGTTTAGTTTCCCTGGTACTGTTTCCACATGCTAACGTTTTAGCATTTGTGGCACAAATCCCATTCAAATCATGGGACAGATATTAGCATTGTTTGCGCATCACGTTCAAATCATCTTTAAGTGACTGTTGAGCTTCACAATCAATTTTAAATACTTTTGGATGATTTAGACATGATGCGCAAAAAATGCCAGTATTGGTCCCATGACTTGAATGGGATTTGTGCCACAAATACTAAAACGTTAGCATGTGGAAACAGTGCCAGAAAATTAAACCAAATCATGGATTGCTGTGATACCTTGTCCATAGACTGCTTACAGGGTAAGGAAACCAATGTGTAATTTTGTTATTTGGGTGAACTATCCCTTTAACGTCTGTGTATAATGTCATTTTTACCTGATTGGGAAGTCGACCATGTCGTTGATCTTGTCCCTCCAGATGAAGCTGCGGAAGGAGAAGCGTTTGAGCTGGATGATGAGGACGTTGGGCAGACGCCACAGCAGCAGCTGCTTGGAGGCTTCCCTGTGCTGCTGGCACTTTGGACAGTACCTGAAAAAGAGAAAGAGGAGCGGGAGAGTTCCTGTTAGCTTTATAATCCATCAAAACAATGGCTAAATCAGTAAGAGAACAATGTCTATGTTAACTGTGCATGTACACGTGTGTTAGTGCATAGCTTTATGTGACTGTAGGGCTACATTTGTTTGAGTATGTGCGCACGTTGAAGGCTATGTTGATGTGTGTGTTGTTCATACCATGCCTCCTCTGGTGCCAGCACCTCAGGCCTAGTGAAGAGGTTGAGGCACTGCTCCAGGGTGAAGTGTCCAGCCCTGGCCGTCTCACTGACCGACCCAGGGTCCTCCTTAAAGTCCAGCTCCTTGGACCGGACCAGCACATACTCCTTGAGACGCTCGTTGTTCTTCCACACTAGTGCCAGTGTGGATTCCTCAGGGAGGTCCAGAACGGCCTCTTCTGGAGGGGGGAAAGACATGACAAACAACATTAAGACACTGAAAAACACATATTGTAAAAGGAATAATATTGAATAATACACAGCAGATCAATGCATTTCTGCTTCGTCTTCCACTAGGGGTAAGGGATGGGTTTGGGATAGTGCCCTATTAGGCCCTTCTCTTACCTTTTTCCTCCAGTTTCTGCTCCTTGCCGTTGGAGTCGAGGACGGAGATGTAGAACTGAGAAGCATGGCTGGACGCAGACTCTGAGGGTTGCTGGTAACCTGTCACTGCAGCTAGTACAAAATACAGTCACAAATCATAGAGTGACAGGGGATTAAACAATGAAAGACATCTATGGTCAGGTGAAAAATCTCATGGAAAAAGTGGAAGTAACAAACAATATTATCGATATCTCAATGACAGACGATGCTTGCCTTTACCTTCTGGCCTGACAGCCTTCTCACAGGAGGTCTCCTTCTCTCCCTGGGGGTCCTGGGAGCAGCAGGATGGCTCAGAGAAGCCAGAGTCTGTGGTGCGGGTGGAGAGAGCGTCTGGGTCTTCGGCTAGGTGTACTGAAGCCTGGGCTGTTTCTAATGGAGACTCAGGGACCAGAAAGGGGCTCTCCTGATCAGAGTCCCCTGCCCCACCGCCCCTGGCCTCATCCCCTGGCCCCACACCCTCAGGGGTCTCTGCTGGAGGGGGGAGGTCAGCCCGGCACTGGGTGGCCTCTGGGGACGTCCTGCCAGACTGGAAGGGAGGCTGGAACACGTTCACTGAATACCTACACAGAGAGATGGGGAAAGGGGTGTGAACATAGGAATCAGTGACAGTCCAACGATGCCAAATCAGCAAGTTGTATTGACTAGGGATGTGACAAAATGTAAAATGTTTTTTAATGTTCAAACTGCCATTTTTGTATTTAACCCCCTAGAGTTGATGTCCGTGCCCCCTGCGGAAATCTAATTAGCATAATAAACATATCTGAGATATGTTTTTTTTGCATGGGCTTGTCTTAAGTCGGTACCGCCCATCTGCCAACTTCTGTCTGTAGCATGCGAACAGTTTGGGCTACACACTAATATGACCCCTCTATGGAAATGTGAGACTAACGAACACGTACATGTCGGTTGTTTTGCTCTAGGACGCCCACAAGCCTCACAAGACCCGTCTGAAGGTAGCCCGGTACCACGAATTATAAAGGGAAAACCAGCCACGTCGCGGACACTGTCTTGCTCCCGGACAAGCTAAACACCTTCGCCCTCTTTCAGGATAACCCAGTGCCACCGACGCGGCCCGCTCCCGAGGACTGTGGGCTCTCGTTCTCTGTGGCCAACGTGAGTAAGACATTTAAGCGTGTTAACCCTCGCAAGGCTGCCGGCCCAGACGGTATCCCTCGCCCTCAGAGCATGCGCAGACCAGCTGGCTGGAGTGTTTACGGACATATTCAATCTCTCCCTATCGCAGTCTACTGTCCCCACTTGCTTCAAGATGTCCACCATTGTTCCTGTACCCAAGAAAGCAAAGGTAACTGAACTAAATGACTCACTTCTGTCATCATGAAGTGCTTTGAGAGGCTAGTTAAGGGTCATATCACCTCCACCTTACCCGACACCTTAGATCAGGGGTACTCAACTACTATTTGAGAAGGTCCAGTGACACACATTTCCTAGGTGGCAAAGGTCCGGATAGTTATCGTCGCTGTGGTACAGCGTAGTAACAAACATAGTCGTCTACGACTTAGGAAACATGTTGTTATATAACATTTACATTAAATGCATTAAATTAGACTAAGAATTTGAATTAATTACAACTTATTTCGAATGTAAACACGTGCAACATTGCAGAAGAACAAAAGTGGTTGCATAATTGTCTATGCAAAAAGTGCACTGTGAACCATTGTACATGGGCCTTGAATATATATATATTTTTTAAAGAAATCAAGTGCATGTTTTCTGGAGAATAAAGGAGAGTTAAACAAAAAGAATACTCTGAATGCACAGAACGTCACTGTGGGCCATGCCCTTGCATCAATGAGAGAAATTACACTTTTTGTCTCCTGCCAATGCTTTGAACTTCGGCACAAATGTTGTGAGAGCAACTCTGAGACACTGGTGCAGGTGTTCATTGGTGAGCCTGGTGCGGTATTTGTTTTAATAAAGTTCATTGTGGAGAAGGCTGATTCACAGCTGTATGTGGAGCCAAACATGGTCAGGATGTATAGTGCCCGTTTCTTGAGGACAGGGACATCAGCTGTAGGCACCATCTTTCTCCAGAAAGTCACAGGGTCACAATCACCAGCCTGCTCCTTCAAAGCCAATCACCAGCCTGCTCCTTCAAAGCCACATTTTCTTGCAGCTCAATCAACTCCATTTGCAGTGATGCAATATCTACCCATCTGAAGATCTGTTTTGCTTCTTCTGACAACTTTGTCACATTTGTGACCAAGAAGGGGTTCTGGATGAGCAGCAGCAGTTCTCTTCCAACAGTGAAGTCATCAAAGCGAGCCTTGAAGTTATCCATCAGCTTCTGGATGAAATCAACATGGTTGGGAACATCTTTGTGTCCCTGCATTTGCACCAGAAGATTGGGGAAGTGGTCAAGTTCTCCCTGGAGATCATTCTTGAAAAGCTCCAATTTCTTCTGGAAAGCCCGGACTGCTGTTATCATATTACACACTGTTGTCCCGTCCCTGCAGCTTAACATTCAGTTGATTAAGGTGTGATGTAATGTCTGTCAAAAATGCAACTGTTTCCATCTTCTCCTCATCTTCCAAAAACTCAGAAAACTGAGTTGCCTTGTCACTCATTTGCTCTGATAAGAAATCTTTGATTTCCTCCTGAATGGCCCAAAAGCGTTCCAAAACCCTGCCTTTGCTGAACCATCTGACATTGTTGTGCAGTAGCAAGTCATCCAAACTGTCATTGGCCTCTGTCAGAATGCCTTGTAGCAGGCGCTGTTGTAGGGATGTATATATTTCTTAATTCAATTTTTTTTACTTTGAGATGTTTATTGTTGTGAATTGTTAGATACTACTGCACTGTTGGAGCCAAGAACACAAGCATTTCGCTACACCTGCAATAACATCTGCTAAACATGTGTATGTGACCAATAACATTTTGTTTTATTTACCAGATTTAAAAAATGAATGGAAGTATACAATGGGGAGAACAAGTATTTGATACACTGCCGATTTTGCAGGTTTTCCTACTTACAAAGCATGTAGAGGTCTGTCATTTTTATCATAGGTACACTTCAACTGTGGGAGACGGAATCTAAAACAAAAATCCAGAAAATCACATTGTATGATTTTTAAGTAATTAATTTGCATTTTATTGCATGAAATAAGTATTTGATACATCAGAAAAGCAGAACTTCATATTTGGTACAGAAACCTTTTTGCAATTACAGAAATCATACGTTTCCTGTAGGTCTTGACCAGGTTTGCACACACTGCAGCAGGGATTTTGGCCCACTCCTCCATACAGACCTTCTCCAGATCCTTCAGGTTTCGGGGCTGTCGCTGGGCAATACAGACTTTCAGCTCCCTCCAAAGATTTTCTATTGGGTTCAGGTCTGGAGACTGGCTAGGCCACTCCAGGACCTTGAGATGCTTCTTACGGAGCCACTCCTTAGTTGCCCTGGCTGTGTGTTTCGGGTCGTTGTCATGCTGGAAGACCCAGCCACGACCCATCTTCAATGCTCTTACTGAGGGAAGGAGGTTGTTGGCCAAGATCTCGCAATACATGGCCCAATCCATCCTCCCCTCAATACGGTGCAGTCGTCCAGTCCCCTTTGCAGAAAAGCATCCCCAAAGAATGATGTTTCCACCTCCATACTTCACGGTTGGGATGGTGTTCTTGGGGTTGTACTCATCCTTCTTCTTCCTCCAAACACAGCGAGTGGAGTTTAGACCAAAAAGCTCTATTTTTGTCTCATCAGACCACATGACCTTCTCCCATTCCTCCTCTGGATCATTCAGATGGTCATTGGCAAACTTCAGACGGGCCTGGACATGCGCTGGCTTGAGCAGGGGGACCTTGCGTGCGCTGCAGGATTTTAATCCATGACGGCGTAGTGTGTTACTAATGGTTTTCTTTGAGACTGTGGTCCCAGCTCTCTTCAGGTCATTGACCAGGTCCTGCCGTGTAGTTCTGGGCTGATCCCTCACCTTCCTCATGATCATTGATGCCCCACGAAGTGAGATCTTGCATGGAGCCCCAGACCGAGGGTGATTGACCGTCATCTTGAACTTCTTCCATTTTCTAATAATTGCGCCAACAGTTGTTGCCTTCTCACCAAGCTGCTTGCCTATTGTCCTGTAGCCCATCCCAGCCTTGTGCAGGTCTACAATTTTATCCCTGATGTCCTTACATAGCTCTCTGGTCTTGGCCATTGTGGAGAGGTTGGAGTCTGTTTGATTGAGTGTGTGGACAGGTGTCTTTTATACAGGTAACGAGTTCAAACAGGTGCAGTTAATACAGGTAATGAGTGGAGAACAGGAGGGCTTCTTAAAGAAAAACTAACAGATCTGTGAGAGCCGGAATTCTTACTGGTTGGTAGGTGATCAAATAATTATGTCATGCAATAAAATGCAAATTAATTACTTAAAAATCATACAATGTGATTTTCAGGAAAAATTACAGACCTCTACATGCTTTGTAAGTAGGAAAACCTGCAAAATCGGCAGTGTATCAAATACTTGTTCTCCCCACTGTATATGGAAGTAGTTTAGTGCCAAAACAATTGGTTAAATATGGGTAAAAATGTGTATTCCTTATCTTTCTATAACTCTCAGATATAGGACAGACACTTAGTCAAAACATTTTATCAAAAGGAAGTTTGTTTTTCCATGTATGAATCTGTTATTCAATGTGTTTCTATGGGCTAATAGCAGTAGAGCCGAATTCAATGTTTCCCCCCAAAAAAAATCAGATTTATTTTTATACCTAAAGGGATCCTAAAATTCTAAATCAAATAGCTAAATAATCCTTGGTATGACCACCTTAAAACAATTCCATGTTAGCTTAGTGAAATCCCTCCGTTTAAAATTAAATAAACCATAAAATGACGCAAATTCACAACCCAGATACGATATGGTTCTGTGTATGACCACTAGGGGGCAAAGCAGTTCAATCTACTGCAGTCCTGGCTACCACAGCCACAAAGTCATAAAGCCCGCCTATTTCTACAATTTCTCTTCTTAAAATGTGATTTTAACCCTAACCACACAGATATTTGTTACGATATGACTTTGTGGCCGTGATAACTAGTGGAAACCCTACCAGACAGCGCTCACCTTACTGCTGTCCCCCACCCACTCAACAACGATGGTATTAATGCAGTTTTAGGTTCTCTGTTGTGTGCCTCTCCTCCATATTCTCAGTACATCCCTCATGTCCCACTTCTCATCAATGTGATGGCTCGTTGCAGTGACGTATGACAGTGTGTTCATAGATGTCCAACAATCTGTTCACTCTACATATGGTGTTTGAGAGCTCACGCTTTGTACTTGCAGAGCAATCATTGCACAATTTTTCCATCAGGGCCGTCACGGTTTATCGACATGGCATCTTGTAGTCTGGTTGTAGATATGCCTCTTTCAGTATTGCACCTGTACTGCCACTGTAGCTCAATTCCACCTCGCAATGTTTGCATTTCACAACCTTCTTATTTAACTTCTCAAAGTATTGCGATACAGGACTTCACTGCTGTCGCTTCCCTGTCTCACTCTCTGTCTCTGTTAACAACGATGACGTGCGGAGTGCTTTCTATCCCTGGCAAATCATTTGAAAGATTCATAAAATTAAAACTCGTTTTTCAACCACTCCACAAATTTCTTGTTAACAAACTATAGTTTTGGCAAGTCGGTTAGGACATCTACTTTGTACATGACACAAGTCATTTTTCCAACAATTGTTTACAGACAGATTATTTCACTTATAATTCACTGTATCACAATTCCAGTGGGTCAGAGGTTTACATACACTAAGTTGACTGCTTTTAAACAGCTTGAAAAATCCCAGAAAATGATGTCATGGCTTTAGAAGCTTCTGATAGGCTAATTGACATCATTTGAGTCAATTGGAGGTGTACCTGTGGATGTATTTCAAGGCATACCTTCAAACTCAGTGACTCTTTGCTTGACATCATGGGAAAATCAAAAGAAATCAGCCAAGACCTCAGAAATAAATTTGTAGACCTCCACAAGTCTTGTTCATCCTTGGAGCAATTTCCAAACGCCTGAAGGTACCACGTTCATCTGTACAAACAATAGTACGCAAGTATAAACACCATGGGACCACGCAGCCGTCATACAGCTCAGGAAGGAGACGTGTTCCGTCTGCTAGAGATTAACGTACTTTGGTGAGAAAAGTGCAAATCAATCCCAGAACAACAGCAAAGGACCTTGTGAAGATGCTGGAGGAAACAGGTACAAAAGTATCTATATCCACAGTAAAACGAGTCCTATATCGACATAACCTGAAAGGCTGCGCAGCAAGGAAGAAGCCACTGCTCTAAAACCGCCATAGAAAAGCCAGACTACGTTTTGCAACTGCACATGGGGACAAATATAGTACTTTTTGGAGAAATGTCCTCTGGTCTGATGAAGCAAAAATAGAACTGTTTGGCCATAATGACCATCGTTATGTTTGGAGGAAAAAGGGGAATGCCAACCGTGAAGCACGGGGTGGCAGCATCATGCTGTGGGGGTGCTTTGATGCAGGAGGGACTGGTGCACTTCACAAAATAGATGGCATCATGAGGAAGGAAAATGATGCAGATATATTGAAGCAACATCTCAAGACATCAGTCAGGAAGTTAAAGCTTGGTCGCAAATGGGTCTTCCAAATGGACAATGACCCCAAGCATACTTCCAAAGTTGAGGCAAAATGGCTTAAGGACAACAAAGTCAAGGTATTGGAGTGGCCATCACAAAGTCCTGACCTCAATCCTATTGAACATTTGTGGGCAGAACTGAAAAAGCGTGTGTGAGCAAGGAGGCCTACAAACCTGACTCAGTTACACCAGCTCTGTCAGGAGGAATGGGCCAAAATTCACCCAACTTATTGTGGGAAGCTTGTGGAAGGCTACCCAAAACGTTTGACCCAAGTTAAACAATTTAAAGGCAATGCTACCAAATACTAATTGAGTGTATGCAAACTTCTTACCCACTGGGAATGTGATGAAAGAAATAAAAGCTGAAATAAATAATTATCTCTACTATTATTCAAACATTTCACATTCTTAAAATAAAGTGGTGATCCTAACTGACCTAAGACAGGGAAGTTTTACTAGGATTAAATGTCAGGAATTGTGAAGAATTTTAATGTATTTGGCTAAGGTGCATGTAAACTTCCGACTTCAACTGTATTTGTTAAATTTTTATTTTAGCCTTTATGATGATGATGATGGGGGTCCTGTTAATTGTAGTTTTGTGATAACTGCACTGCAATTTTAATTTAGTAAAAAAAAGAAGAACAAACACATTTTAGCTTAGGGATTTTTTTTCTAAATGTTAACGATCTCAAATTCATTTAAACGTCACACCCCTAGTATTGGCATCTATAAAGAGCAGCATTCATATCATCCATCAATTGCGAAGATCCCTGTGGTACCTTGAGTATCCTTCCAGCAGCTGGGACAGACGGGCGTAGGTGAGTCTGGACTCAGGGACGCTGACCAGGAATGGAAGCCCCACGTTCTCAATGTTGGGGCGACACAGAACCTTATGGTTGGACCAATGATTTTTCTGGCAAGCCCTGAAACATGAAGGAAAAAAGTAAGTTTTTTCATGAGTTAGGAATCATTTAGGAGACAAAGGGAAATAGTTCTGAAAAATTTATCCTGTGTCATTATTGGGAGAGAGACTCAATTGCCTCGTGACATTAGTGCCAGCTGACATTTAGCATGTTGACTCACTGGTTGCAGTAGCCCACGCGGTAGCAGCGGGTGCAGCGCTTCAGCTTCTCTTCCTCTGAGAAGGGAGGCTTCAGGCAGGCAGCACACTTGGAAATAGGGATACTAGGGACCTGAGGCCTCTGGAGGGGGACAGAGACACAGATATGACTTAAACACAGAGACAGTCACTAGGTACTTCCGTTATAGTCCCATACGGTTTAAATAGGAAGGCTAGGGAGTTGAAGCTGCCGTTTACCTGCTGGACTCTGAGCACCACCACCCTCTCCTTGGCCAGCTCTTTAGACAGCACCTCGAAGCAGAAGAGCATGTCTGAGGAGGAGACCGTGTCCAGGGAGTGGGAGGGGAGGAAAATCCTGTGGAAGTAACTCTTCACCACCTCAGCCAGTCTCAGGTTCTCTGCCTTGATCCTCACACTCCGAGAGATTGAGTCCAGGACCTCGGCTGTGCTCGAGTTATCCTTACTCACACTCACCAGGAACTGACACACACAGAAGGTACGAGATAATAAATAAATAAATAAATAAATAATCAACTGAAGCCATCTGACATCTGAACAAAACCAACATCTCATCTTACCTTGATGGGTTGCTTGTGAGGCTCTTTAGCAAAGTAGAACACAGTGAGGACCTTCTGCTTCTGTGGCAGGGGCACGGGCAGGTAGAGGAAGGGGTCAAAGGTTATGGAAACCTAGAGAGAGCGAGAGGAGAAAGACATTTGACCTTTACAAAACAAACAGGTCAGAACAGTGACACTGTGAATCAGGTTACAGAGTTGTAGTGCCCTCTATCGCACCACTGAATAAATAAGTTAGTTCCACTCTGCCACACAGCCAGCAAGCCATCCACACAGATCCACTATTAGAGTAAATGCTTCTGATCGGTCCATTTCCTCTATTATTAAATTAGGTTTTCCTCCATCTCAGCCTGACAGCCAGGCCCCTGAGCCTCTCATCATCTACATCATATTAAATGCCCATTATCATGGTGCCTTTGGGGCAGAAATGCTTAAAACAGTCAGGGTCTGTGTTCAGGAGTGGACGGTCGCAGCAACAGAGGTACTATAGTATCATCCCTGAGAGTTTGACTGATGCATTCTAAGACAAAACAAACCTCCCAGCTCCACTTAGCCTCAATACAAAACACACTTCAATACGAACACCTAGATATCTTCAGACAGGTTGAGTGTTGTGTCATGACTCTCCCTGGGTGAGGATCAAAGGCCTCACATCAGCTTGGCAAATGGCCGACAACAACCAGACCCTCTTACCACGGAGGGCTGTGCCGGTCTTGACACCTTAATACTGCCATAAATTAGAGAGGAGGAGAATCTCTCTCTGGCACTCTAGTATGGTGAAAGGAATGCCTTTGTTTCAGATACTTTTTGTCGCCCAAAAACCTCAACATCCAACAATGAACATTGGGACAATATATTTCAACATCCAAATGTTGGGAATGATGAGAAATGGAATATGGAAAATGAATGTCTATTTTGTGATGTCATTAAAAATGGTATAAAGGTGTTATAATGAAAACATTGTGACTTGAAGAGCTTTTACACTGTGGATATCATGTTTACATCCTTTACCTTGTGTAGAAAATATCAAGGAGGAAGACAATGTTTTCGTGAAGATAGGAATGTGATTTTAGCTTTCTAACAAAATCATAGTGATGATAATACTTTTGCCTCGTAACTAGCCACGCCCGAGGGAGCTCAGAGAGCGTGTCAGTATGACGGAAACGCCCCTCTTTACCAGAGTGCCTAAAAGATTGAGATAAGAATTATCAGATCAGACTAGACGGACCTCAAGCTGCAGCTTTTGTCCATATTGGTCCCGACCCTGAAAATCAACATGAGGTGAAGACAAAGTTGCCTCCACTAACAATCAATGTTACGGCTGAGTAGCTGTTCTAAGTACTGTATCTAAGAAGGTGAATTTAAGTGGGACCATCCTGTTACTCTCTTCAAGCCATTGTCTACTACACTGCTCTCATCACCCCACAGGGGATCATCGACACGGCTGATTAGCCGTTATCAGAAGACCACTTCCAGAACGAGTGAAACTAAACAGACAACTAAGAAGAAGGACATTGTGACCTCTTGTGGACAATCTGAGCCTTACATCTGAAAGGCCATCCGAAAGAGAAGGCCCAATCGAATCCTTCCCACAAAGGCCTGGGTCCAACAGAGATACACGACGAAGACGTCCAACACGTAAATAGAGGCATTGCTTTTCTTCCCAAACGGGCGGCAATTCGGGGCAAAGTATTAGGATTACTGTGAGCGTAGGTCCATGTGTATCCAAGTGTTGTAACAAGTGTCATATTGTGTTAGTCCGCTAGGGACCCGTTTTCTTTGTATTAAGTTTCTAATCCTTACCTATACCGTGTACGTGTTTGTATCTTGTGTTATCATTTTTAATTAGTTAGTAAATCAAGAATTAAATACATTTGTGTGGTACGGAATGATCAGTAAGACCCGGGTTCGTGCAGACTTAAAGAGTCTACAACTTTCAGAATGAGACTGATATGAGGTAAATTATTAATAAATTACTGTTAAATGACGAGATATCTAGATATCTTTAGAGTTAATTCAGGAAATGTTAACTCGTTAAACAACTTTTCCCGTGGTACCCCAAATTCCTAATGAGTTGTTACATGATTAATTTAATCTATTAACAATTAAACATAGTAGGTAATTATTCGATAAATAATAGTCATCACAATAATGAAAGTCACGTCACGACAGTTGCTTGGGAATTACAATAATTCCTCTGTGTCTTACCTTGGAGCACATAGGGCAGACGAGCTTGGACTTGTACTGGCCCTGGAAGAGGTCCACGATGAACGAGTCGTTCCTCATCTTGTGCCTCTGCCACGCCTCCTCTGCGACCACCTATTACATCACAACCACACCATCATGTCATTTTCCAGGACAATTGGACTCAAGGGAACAGTGGCACAGCAGTCAGCAAGACAGCAATGTGGATATGCGAATGGTGCTGCTCAAACCTCTATTTCACCCACCTCGTCCAGCCGTCCATCTGAGTCCACCGTCTCTGTGTAGGGCTTGTTCTGGATGCGGTTCAGGTCCTCATGGAGACCATCCAGGAGGAAGGCCATGAACTCCTGGGCATCGTGCTGGGCATAGCCTGTAAACTGGCTGGCCTTACTGGCCACGATCGCCTGGGGGGTAAAGACAAAACATAAAGATGAAGACTAAAGGGAGAGGCTGTACTTAACCCGAATACTGCTGGTGTTAATCTGTGTGGAAGGCATGATGGTGTTGTGGTTAAAATAACAGGAGGGAGTTAAAGATGGGACTCTCAGGAGAGAGTGGATTGTCACCTTTAACTTCGAGGGCTGGAAAGCATGGTGGGTACCCTTCCACAGAGCCCGCAGCAACACAGCAAACCCGATGGCCAGCCGACCACCCGTCCCCAATGGGTTATTACAGTTGATCTCAGTTTCAAACGCACGGTCTGCACAGAGGGGGAGAGAACACAGTTCATTGTTTAATATCAATCTACAGCAACAGATACTAGTTCCATATGTACATTACAAGAGATTTATTTCATAAAAATTAAAAGTGATCAACTTAAAGAAAGTAGGGAAGAGAAAATTAGAGAAGACTGACCATGAAAGTAGTCCCTGAGTTCTCGGGTGTTGGACAGAGACTGGATGACGCTGTTCATGAAACAGGTGTTGCCCAGGTTGACCAGGCCTGTGAAGCCTGGCAGACACACCTTCTTCTCCTCCTCCTCAACACTGCGCTCACTGCCAGCAGGAGGCGCGTGGGTCATGGGCTGGACCATACAGGTGGGCTTGGGCTGAGAGGCATAGACAGAGAAATAAAGGGATGAAATACCAACCTTCAAGGCTCAAAGGATAACGTGATAAAGAAAACGGATTCCTTCCCCCTACTCATTTCCAAATCACTACCTCAATCACTTCATACCATTTCCCTATTTGGCCCTCTCTCTCACAATCTCATCCTCTGTCTTGTCCAACTCACCGTGACTGCAGACTCCTGTTTGATAGGGGAATGGTCTGAGACGGTGCGGGCTGACACATTGTCAAGGCCTCCGTCCTCTGCCCGGGGGGGCTCCTCCTTGGCAGGGAGGGTGTGCTGGCTGCTGCCCGGCTGACTCGTCTGAGATGACGGCACGGATGGCACAGCAACCTTGGCGCCCCCCACTGCACCTTAAACAGAGGGGGATGGAGCTTGTGGTCAACGACAAACAACTGTCAGGACCAAGAGAAGAACAATTGCATATGGCCGATGAACTGAGTGGCCCTTTGCACGTCAAATCGTTTTCATTCATTGAAGTACAAAAATTATATTGTCTGCTTGCTGTGTTTAGACAACAGCAACGTGTAAAAGTACCACAAACTACATCTAGGCCTACTAGTATTGTAAACTATATCAAAAGATACCAATGCCAGCACAACAGATATTAGAAGTTAAGGACATAGAGCAACACTGCAGTGCCTAGGCTAAGACACCCAGAGGTCCGTTGGGTTGGGAGAGCAGCAGACGGGACTGAGCCACGCATACTGAGTTACTGGATTAGTTTCAATGCTCAGATTCCTGTCTGGAATGCCGTCTTGAATGTACACACCCACACGCCTGCCTATCACCCAAATTAACACACAGTCACGCATGGCACACGTACACCCACAAATCCTGGTATCAACCCTCCCACGTAATTCACATGCTTACAGACATATCAGGATTAGCCTTAATGGTTTACTAGAATATTGGTTCAACTGAAACGTATCCATGTGCTCTCCAAAACAGCAATATAAAGTAAGTCAGTGAATACATTTGTGTGGAGGTAATTTTGTAGCAATATAAAGTACTGTAAGTCAGTGAATAAATGTGTGTGAAAGTAATTGTGGGTAATGTTTATAAGGGGATGCTATGTGATAGCTAGTGTAATAGACGTGTGTATAGTGGTTGCAATGAGCAGTAGAAGCCAGGCAGCAGAAAGACCTTGTGTAGCAGGGGCCTCCAGGCCCCCCCAGCGCTGGCTGTGTCTCTTCTTCAGAGTGATGTCTAAACGGGACGGGGTGAAGGCATACGTAGACTGCTCAGGCTGGATGAGGTTCCTGCAACAGTGGATCACAGCTTGTGAAACTCATGATCTCAATGAGAGCCAAGGGCCCAATTCACATATCAATAGAAACTCCACACAAACTCACATACCAAGTTCAAATTCAAAGTCTTACCTGAGTTTGACTTGCCACTTAAATACTGTATTTGCTCCGCAGTCCGCATGAAGGCGCAATAAATTTGCATCGCTGTTAGAAAGGGAAGATAATTCAGTAAACCACTAAAATCCCAAAGGCCACTGAGGTGAAAAGTCAGAAGGGCCAAGTTACCTGGTCTGGAAGATGAGGGTGAAGTCCTGTTCCCTGAAGATCACCCTGGCCGTCTCTCTGCAGATGCCCTTCATGTACACGTTGACCACCATTAGGTCTGTCCCTTTCTCGTACGAGTCGTTCTTCACAAAATTCAGGTTCACCATTGGCTCTGGAACTGCTAAAAGATAACCGCAGGCAGGCTACGTTTCAGATCACTGCGGACCTCAAACCTCAGTGCCGAGTCTATCCTCACTGCAACTGATCTGTCCATTTCACTTACAAACCACAGTTCCCATAGTCATGTTCTGCCTAGAGCTATCCTGACAAATTAATGACGTGACAAAAAGCACATTTCAATCATATTTGTGAAATATCCGTGTCCTTTTGAGACTGTGACCCCAGTCCACTGACCTTCCTCCAGCTGCTTAATGTCCAGAGGTTCCTCTTTAGACCGGTCCTTCTTCTCCTCCTCTGTACTGCTCCTGCTGGGGAACTCAGCCTGCTTGGTAGGTGTTGCAGTCACAGGCTCCCCTGATTCTGGTCCTGACTGCTGGGTTGGTGTTAGAGTGGCCTGGTCAGCCTCATCCTGGGACTTTCTCACTACCGTAGAGGACTCAGTCCTCTCAGCCTCAGCCTCAGCCTCCCCTTGCCTCTCTGTTCTGCTAGTGGAGTCTTCAGCCTTGTGGCTGCTCACAGCACTGGACAAAGTGGCTGCCGGTATGCGTTCCTCTTCTGCCCCAGCCTTGAAATCAGACTCTGGGTCCTTCTCCAGCTGAAACAATAATGGGCTTTACAATCAGATCCAGAGCAGCAGATAATCACAAACCACACAGAACTCGGTGCCTGGTGAGATGCTACAGTCTAGAGAAACTGGGACTCACCTGAACTTTCATCTCCTGCTGTGTGTGGCTGAAGGCCATCTCGGGTGTTGTACACTCATGACCGTTGCCTAGCCTGTCAGCACGATTGTCACCAGCTGTATACGTCTGGGGGTCTCGGCCAGTGGGAGTGGGGGTGTGCGGTTTCCCATTGGCTGTGGACTTGGGGTGTGTATCCCTGGGAGTCTGTGAAGTAGAGTCCTTGGAGGCCTTGGGGGGACGGACGGTGCGCTTGGCACTAGGCTCCTGAGGCAGGTCCCCTTTACTGACAGGCTTGGTCTGCCCCTCTCCTGCAGCCTTCACCCCAGACTCTGGCCTGTCTGCTGCTGGTTTGTTCTTCATGGTGCGTTTGACACCTCGCTCTGCTTTGCCACACCTCTGTTCGCTCTGTGCCGGTGGAGCAGATGGCTGGGTGGACAGTTTGGGCTTATCTGCAGTCTCAGGGACAGATTTCTCTGGCTTTACCACAGGCGGCGGTTTCTGCTCTTTGCCGTTCTTGGCCTGCACAGGCTCCTTCTCCTTTTTATTTTGCTACAGGGAGAAGAGACAAAATGTTTGCTTTTTTGTATGCATTTCTTTTGAAATGGTGTTGAAACCTTCACAAGGGATAGGCAATAGAGACATTTAAGGTTGGCAGTTGATGATTTTCAATGAAAGAACCATAAGCTAAATGACAGGATGGAGGCAGGGAGGGCAGCAGGCAGACTCACCATAAGGGAGGGCCAGGAGTGAAAGGGGATCTTCTTCTGCATGACCAAAAGCAGGAAGCCACCCTTCTCTTTGTACTGCACTTTGCTGCAGGAGCCCTCAATCTCCTCCTGCAGGTGACAGTCCCACTGGCGCCCATCTGAAGAGAGAGCAGTGGGCCATCAGACTTGTGCTAATGCTGCACGTTCACAGTGAAAAACTAATGCCACGCAAGCACACGCAGATCAAAGACACACACACGTAAAAACACACACTCCATCATTCAAACGCTATCTCAGCACACACAGACAGGTAGCCTATACAAGCTGTCATACATGTACAATCATCACATACACTTAAGCTAGAAGACATGTAGGCGGCCTAGTTAGTTTCAGATGTGTGTGTGTGTGTGTAGCTTGTGATCTGACCTGGGAAGCAGGCCTGACAGTCTGTGTCAGTGAAGGTAGTGGTGACGTCCTCCACACTCTGAAACCCCTCTCCACAGCGCAGCCTCACTGTCACCTCATTCGCATTCTGCTTCCAGTCCACAAACACATCTACACAGCACCGAGCAGACAAATAAATCTGTCAGAGGAATACTTGTACACTCAGCATATGACAGAGAGCACCTTCAAAATAGATTCTGTAAGAAGAACAGCACATGCTGTGACTGACTGTTAGGAAAGTAAACAAATCTAAAAGCAAATCAGCCTACAATGGTCTACAACAGATGAACATCGATATACTTTGAGGACTACATCGATACCGTTACAATTACCATTAGATAAAGATTAAAGTCATTTATTCATCAGAGAAAAGGCTTCCAAACATACGGCATCTTCACAAGAGATAGATCTACAGAAATGCACACAACACTGATTCAACTTATTTGGCCAATATAGGCCTAGACAAAGATGAACTTACTGCTAAACAGTAAGCAAAGCTTTAAAAATGACCCCCCAATGACAATGGTCAAAATCCACAAATACTCAAAATAAGATAAGAATAATCCTCTTTCTGGCAACAACAAGCCGGAATATGAAATCACAACAAACATCGGCAATGCTTCGGCTATACTGTACCTTTCGTCATAGTGAAGCTAGAGTGCCTTCGGTCATGTATATACCATGTGTGAGCGTTCAGTTCAGTCCAAGGTGCTCACGTTCACCACTACAACAGACTATGCCTTGTTTATTCTCCCGCTCTATGGCTCTCACACACATATTGTATACAGGACACCCTCTCTCTCTCACTCTGTCTCACACACACAGCTGCTGTAAATAAAAAGGTCACAGGCAACACCAAACCCTCTACAGCTGGGCTCCCAGTCGGGTTGTATGCCATGTGACACCCTCTCCCTAAACCCTGCTACGGTCCACTATGATATTACCATAGTATTGACATTTGTTCTTATTTGAACTGCCAACGCACTTTACCAATAGGCTAGTCCGTGGTGTCTTTCATTTGTGTTTTCTATAAATTGTTGAATGGCCTGTCACTTATTATCAGGGCCTTAAACTAACTTTGTCTACCAGCCACTGTGGCAGGTCGATTTTTACCAGTCAAAACCTTTTCACATTAACTACACCCCAAAAAATAATAATGGAGGATAATGCTTAGTAACATTTCTAAAACAAGGAATGTATTACTAGTAACAAGTTATATTATATATTGCTCAATTTAATATTTTAACTTTTAACCAAGATATCACAGACGAGACAAATGTTCAGCTGCCCCTTTAAGGTTACCATGGTACCGGGATCTCCTCCAGCGGTTTTGGCAACTTAGCGACTTTGTGGCTATATGTTTTGACCCCTCCAGCAACTTTTATTGGTAAATGATTCTAGCGACAAATTCAGCTACTTTTCAGCAGACCCGGCACCAGAACAAATCAGTTGGACGGGCATTTGATTTCCATAGCCGATAAAAATAAAAAACATCCTGATAATTTATTTTTTTATTTTAGTCATTTAGCTCTTATCCAGAGCGACTTACAGTTAGTGAATACATTTTTTTAATTTTTATATACTGGCCCCCCGTGGGAATCGAACTCACAACCCTGCAAACGCCATGCTCTATCAACTGAGCTACATCCCTGCCGGCCATTCCCTCCCCTACCCTGGACGGTGCTGGGCCAATTGTGCACCGCCCATGAGTCTCCCGGTCGCGGCCGGCTGCGACAGAGCCTGGATTCGAACCAGGATCTCTAGTGGCACAGTTAGCACTGCGATGCAGTGCCTTAGACCACTGCGCCACTCAGGAGTAGAACTCAGAAATTCTGGTTCTTTCAATCACATTAATCTATTTTCCTCATGTCTGCCTCCCTTTCGATCGGTCTTGAGCTATTGCTAGTGAAGTTCAAAATTGTATCAAATCATCACAGGGTCGGCCCGAAGCTGTCGCTAACGAACTTGCAACATTATATCAGCTAGCCTATTCCGGGTCCTCAAAGTTTCCTGTGCCAGTGAGCTCGGGACAGAAAGCTGTTTATGACATTTCCATTGGATATATGGGATCATCAGATCATGATATTCTGCTCTTTCACACCGAAGTTTGGTGATTATCGAGGCCGGGAGTATTAGAAAGATTTTTCAAATACTGAGGAACGATCATTCGCAATGGATGTTAAAAAAAACGACTTTGTTGACTTGTGTGAGGCGAAGAAAAAAAAAGAGTGGTGTACGTGGGGAGTTAAGGCAATCAGAAATAAGACATTGCCAAATGGGCACTTTCCTACATATGGATGCATTCTGGAGACGCACCATATCTTCCTCACAGCCCCCTCCCCTTCTTCTTGATGCAACATTTTAAAATTATACTCAAGGCATTACCTACACACATTTTAGACGCTTTTCGCTGACAGCCGCAACTCAATCAGCTAGACCTATTGCCACACGCACTACCCAAATTGCAGGCTTCCCAAACACACTTGTGATTTGAAACAATCCAGAGATAGATTTTTTAAAAGAAGCTAATTATCCTCTGTGGCTAAGTCATGCTCCCTGGTTAAGTATTTTGAATGATTTTATTTAGACAGGAGCAATTAATTATATACACTGAACCAAAATATAAAACACAACATGTAAAGTGTTGGTCCCATGATTCATGAGCTGAAATAAAAGATCCCAGAAATGTTACATATACACATAAAGCTTATTTCTCTAAATGTTTGTGCACAACTTGTTTACATCCCTGTTAGTGAGCATTTCTCCTTTGCCAAGATAATCCATCCCCTGACAGGTGTGGCATATCAAGAAGCTGATTAAACAGCATGATCATTACACAGGTACACCTTGTGCTGGGGACACTAAAAAGCCACTCTAAAATGTGCAGTTTTGTCCAGATGTCTCAAGTTGAGGGAGTGTGCAATTGGCATGCTGACTGCAGGAATGTAAACCAGAGCTGTTGCCAGATAATTTAAATGTTCATTTGGCAGTACGTCCAACCGGCCTCACAACCGCAGACCCTGTATATGGCGTCCTGGGGACGAACAGTTTGCTGATGTCAACGTTGTGAACAGAGTGCTCCATGGTGGCGGTGGGGTTGTGGTATGGGCAGGCATACGCTACGGACAGCGAACACAATTACATTTTATCGATGGCAATTTGAATGCACAGAGATACCATGATGAGATCCTGAGGCCCATTGTCATTCATTCGCCGTCATCACCTCATGTTTCAGCATGATAAAGCATGGCCCCATGTCGCAAGGATCTGTACACAATTCCTGGAAGCTGAAAATGGCCCAGTTCTTCCATGGCCGGCAGACCAGACATGTCATCCATTGAGCATGTTTGGGATACTCTGGATCGATGTGTACGACAGCGTGTTCCAGTTCCCCCCAATATTCATCAACTTCGCACAGCTATTAAAGAGGAGTGGGACAGCATTCCACAGGCCACAATCAACAGCCTGATCAACTCTATGCAAAGGAGATGTGTCGTGCTGCATGAGGCAAATGGTGGTCACACCAGATACTGGCTGGTTTTCTGATCCACGGCCCTATTATTTTGTTTTGTTTTAAACGGTATCTGTGACCAACAGATGCATATCTGTATTCCCAGTCATGTGAAATCCATAGATTAAGGCCTAATGAATTGATTTCAATTGGCTGACTTCCTTATATGAACTGTAACTCAGTAAAATCTTTGAAATTGTTGCATGTATTAAAAATTCAACAGAAATACCTTATATAGATAAGTATTCAGACCCCTTACTATGAGACTCAAAATTGAGCTCAGGTGCATCCTGTTTCCATTGATCATCCTTGAGATGTTTCTACAACTTGATTGGAGTCCACCGGTGGTAAATTCAATTGATTGGACATGATTTGGAAAGGCACACACCTGTCTATATAAGGTCCCACAGTTGACAGTGCATGTCAGAGCAAAAACCAAGCCATGAGGTCGAAGGAATTGTCCGTAGCGCTCCGAGACAGGATTGTGTCGAGGCACAGATCTTGGGAAGGGTACCAAAAAATTTCTGCAGCATGAAGGTCCCCAAGAACACAGTGGCCTCCGTCATTCTTAAATGGAAGAAGTTTGGAACCACCAAGACTCTTCCTAGAGCTGGCCGCCCAGCCAAACTGAGGGGAGAAGGGTCTTGGTCAGGGAGGTGACCAAGAACCCAATGGTCACAGCTCCAGAGTTACTCTGTGGTTATGGGAGAACCTTCCAGAAGGATAACTATCTCTGCATCACTCTACCAATCAGGCCTTCATGGTAGAGTGGCCAGATGGAAGCCACTCCTCAGTAAAAGGCACATGACAGCCCGCTGGAGTTTGCCAAAGGGCACCTAAAGGACTCTCAGACCATGAGAAACAAGATTCTTTGGTCTGATGAAACCAAGATTGAACTCTTTGCCCTGAATGCCAAGCGTCACGTCTGGAGGAAACCTGGCACCATCCTGACGGTGAAGCATGGTGGTGGAAGCCGCATGCTGTGGGGATGTTTTTCAGTGGCAGGGACGACTAGTCAGGATCAAGGGAAAGATGAACGGAGCAAAGTACAGAGAGATCCTTGATGAAAACCTGCTCCAGAGCGCTCAGGACCTCAGACTGGGTTGAAGGTTCACCTTCCAACAGGACAGCGACCCTAAGCACACTGCCAAGACAACGCAGGAGTGGCTTCGGGACAAGTCTCTGAATGTCCTTGAGTGGCCCAGCCAGAGCCCAGACTTTAACCCGATCGAGCATCTCTGTTGGGAACACTGCACTTGAGTCATCACGTGTGCCTGTGAAAATCTGACTAGTATATGTCAACGACATCTCTTCGCTAGCAGTGGAAACAAACTCAAACATTGAAAAACAACCTAACTTGTGAACAAAACAAATATTCAAGAAACAGGAGGATAAAGTCTCACTTTAGTTAAAACAACTTTTATGCCTGTCCGCATCGCTCCAAAAACGAATTGTTCAGCACTTCACTCACAGTGCGCACAGCCCCCCAACCAGGCAGTGTTGCTGCGCGAGGTGGAATATAACGTTAGGATTCGTATTTCTTAGTACATTTACCAGACATTAAACAAAATGGCAGCTACTGCAGCTATAAAATCACAACTCGCACATGCCCATACTTGACTTTTGACTATTTTTATTAAATGCTTGCACTCTACAGCCCTGAGTGGGACCACCTGTCAACGTGGCTGGTGAATTAGATATTCTTACCCGCCAATGCCAAAATCGACCTGCGAACGGGGGTGTTAATTTTAGGCCCAGCTTACTATGCACATAGTGCCACATACATTGAAAGTAAAATATGTATTTTACTAATGGGTTACACCACTAACATATGAAAGAAACGGGGAAGGTGCTTGGTGAGAATCAGTGAATGGCATAGACAATAGCCAATTCAACAGCCAAGGCATTGGAAGGTCACAAAGGATACAGTGTGGACAATGGGACTGGGGGTACGGGCAATTCCATGGTAATGGAATTCAGAGGGCCAGCTGGCCAGTGTGAGTCTACCACGGAAGGCTGCTGAGGGGAGAACAGCTCATAATAATGTCCGGAACGGAGCAAATGGATTGGCATCAAACACCTGGAAACCATTGATCCCATTCCACGAATTCTGCTCCAGTCATTAACACAAGCCCGTTCTCCCCAATGAATGTGTCAAACTCCTGTGGTCTCTACCTACCCACACAGTGTCCTCTATTACCTCATCTAGCTACGGGCAATTCCACGATAACGAAATTACACGGAGACCCCGATTTTTCACATCAAAATGTATGCCAAACAAAAAACATTGATTTCAAAGAGCAAAATTACTATTTTAAAAGGCCCAGTGCAGTCCAAAACATGATCTTCCTATGTTTTATATATATATTTCCACACTATGAGGTTGGAATAATATTGTGAAATTGATGAGAATGCCCTTTTAGTGTTAGAGCTGTTTGAAAAGACGTCCTGAAATTTCTGCCTGTTTTGGTGGGATGGAGTTTTGGCCTGCCTATCACCAGGCGGTAAATTAGTTATTGATTGATTGGGCTCATGTATTCTGGTTGGAGAGAGCCGACCAGAGAGGCACAACAGCTCTTGTGACCTTGACATGGCATGTTTCCCTGTGGCCGGCCTTACACCAGCTAGGATTACAACTCTTCAGCATTAAGCAGAGAGCAGCAACATAAATGGCCGGTGACCATGCATGAGCTCACTCCATCAGCGCTCACATCTTACTTTCAAACACAATACATAGGCAAAAGCTGCTGTACATTTGTTTGCTCAGCTGTGTGTCTTGTACTAGACATTCTTACTCAGTATAATATTTTCAAGTTCTTCTTTAAGGGGTTATAGGTAAAGTGATCATTCTTGCATCACCATTTTTACCTCCGAGTATGAACAGATGATCTTATAAATATAAAGCTCCATTATATTTTCTACATACTTTATACAGTGAGGGGAAAAAAAGTATTTGATCCCCTACTGATTTTGTATGGTCGCCCACTGACAAAGACATGATCAGTCTATAATTTTAATGGTAGGTTTATTTGAACAGTGAGAGACAGAATAACAACAACAAAATCCAGAAAAACGCATGTAAAAAATGTTATAAATTGATTTGCATTTTAAGTATTTGACCCCTCTGCAAAATAAGTATTTGACCCCTCTGCAAAACATGACTTAGTACTTAGTGGCAAAACCCTTGTTGGCAATCACAGAGGTCAGACGTTTCTTGTAGTTGGTTTGTAGTAGGTTTGCACACATCTCAGGAGGGATTTTGTCCCACTCCTCTTTGCAGATCTTCTCCAAGTCATTAAGGTTTCGAGGCTGACGTTTGGCAACTCGAACCTTCAGCTCCTTCCACAGATTTTCTATGGGATTAAGGTCTGGAGACTGGCTAGGCCACTCCAGGACCTTAATGTGCTTCTTCTTGAGCCACTCCTTTGTTGCCTTGGCCGTGTGTTTTGGGTCATTGTCATGCTGGAATACCCATCCATGACCCATTTTCAATGCCCTGGCTGAGGGAAGGAGGTTCTCACCCAAGATTTGACGGTACATGGCCCCATCCATCATCCCTTTGATGCGGTGAAGTTGTCCTGTCCCCTTAGCAGAAAAACACCCCGAAAGCATAATGTTTCCACCTCCATGTTTGACGGTGGGAATGGTGTTGTTGGGGTCATAGGCAGCATTCCTCCTCCTCCAAACATGGCGAGTTGAGTTGATGCCAAAGAGCTCGATTTTGGTCTCATCTGACCACAACACTTTCACCCAGTTCTCCTCTGAATCATTCAGATGTTCATTGGCAAACTTCAGACGGGCATGTATATGTGCTTTCTTGAGCAGGGGGACCTTGCGGGCGCTGCAGGATTTCAGTCCTTCACGGCATAGTGTGTTACCAATTGTTTTCTTGGTGACTATGGTCCCAGCTGCCTTGAGATCATTGACAAGATCCTCCCGTGTAGTTCTGGGCTGATTCCTCACCATTCTCATGATCATTGCAACTCCACGAGGTGAGATCCTGCATGGAGCCCCAGGCAGAGGGAGATTGACAGTTCTTTTGTGTTTCTTCCATTTGCAAATAATCGCACCAAAAGTTGTCACCTTCTCACCAAGCTGCTTGGCGATGGTCTTGTAGCCCATTCCAGCCTTGTGTAGGTCTACAATCTTGTCCCTGACATCCTTGGAGAGCTCTTTGGTCTTGGCCATGGTGGAGAGTTTGGAATCTGATTGATTGCTTCTGTGGACAGGTGTCTTTTATACAGGTAACAAGCTGAGATTAGGAGCACTCCCTTTAAGAGTGTGCTCCTAATCTCAGCTCGTTACCTGTATAAAAGACACCTGGGAGCCAGAAATCTTTCTGATTGAGAGGGGGTCAAATACTTATTTCCCTCATTAAAATGCAAATCAATTTATAACATTTTTTACATGCGTTTTTCTGGATTTTTTTGTTGTTATTATGTCTCTCACTGTTTAAATAAACCTACCATTAAAATTATAGACCGATCATTTCTTTGTCAGTGGGCAAACATACAAAATCAGCAGGGGATCAAATACTTTTTTCCCTCACTGTATGTATCTATGCCTTATGTCCCAGGTTGTGTGTGCCTCCCTTAGGGTATGGTGAGTGGCCTGGCCTCTAACTCCTGGGCAGCCAGTCAGGAGCATGGCCGTTCAGCTGGTTTCACCCATCATCTCCCACCATCTCCGCAGGCTCCCCAACCGGAGCCAGGAACCAGCGTTCCAAAGGCAGCCGTGTGTTTACTTTGAGGGCTGGTGCTAATCGCAGGCTTGATGGAATCGTTAGCTGATATTGTAGAGATAATATAACTCTGACGTACAAAATCAGTAGGGGATCAAATACTTTTTTTCCCTCACTGTATGTGGTTTTAGTCGTTAAAGTTTACACTGAAAACGTTTTTGTTTTTTTACTATATATATATTATTTTTTTTTATCCGATTTTTGGGAGTGCCGGAAACAATTTAGCTAAATGAATATAGGGGAAACACTGGAAGATGATACCTTGTAAGACAAAGAAAATACCTCCAAGGCCCATATAACACATTACGGGACCTGTTCTATATTCTACAATAAAAGAGAAGGCTGCAAATGACAAACATCTTACTGGAGGACGCTAAACAAAAATTATATAGCCAAATGTCCTGTATCAAAAGTCCTTTAGGAACCACAAACAGGGAACTGAGCAGTACTCCCATAGATGAAACAAAGCAAACTTGAAGTACCCTTCAACATCACTAGTTCTCCCCATTGTATCGTCAGGTTTTTGCATTCAGATGTTACGTCATACACAAATCAAAATATAGGCTCAACATAACAAATAGGCTTGCTCACAGCAAACACTTCACGCATTGCTAATAAAGGAGCATCTCAGGGGCAAACCCTCCTGCCTTAACGCACCCAAAATAGCTCATCTTTAACCCTCTCACCTTTCTTGTGCTCTGCATTGGCCCCTGCTGCTGCTGCTCGCTTGGCCTCCCTGCTCTCCTGGTTGGCCCTGTCCTTCTGCTTCTTCTTGCTGGTGGTGTCACCAGCGCTGCGCTGACCCCCATTCCGCCGGCCTGATTCACTGCTGCTGGCCATCTTCAGGCACTTGGCGCTCCCGGAACGCCCGTCGCTGGCGTCGCTGCTGCTGGGGTCTGGTTCTGAGGTGTGCCGCTTTCTGCCCGGTCCAGCTATCTTGGCGATGTTACAAGTTAGAACTCTCCCAGAACAGAATCAGGGGGCCTGAGAAGAGTCAGAAAACCAACACCGTTATAAATGAGTGTTGCAGAGCTACATAAGGGTCATTAAGAGTGTCATCTATGCAGTTGGGCCCCCAGTTCAGCCCCTCTTTAAAAATACATGCTCCGGTACTTTGGCGACAAGTTTTTACCTCCCGCTTTGGGCTGGATGTGTCAATGTGTAGTTCATACACGCATAATCTATGAGCAGAATTACAGACTTCCCTCAATTAGCCATGGAATCCCTAGTTTAAAAGACACTTTTCTGGAAGCAGTGAGATGCCTTTTTCCCTACATTTACCCCGACATGGGTCAGCCACGTAGCAATTCAAGTTTCAGCCAATGGGCTTCAGCCCCTCGCCATTTGAGTGACAGCTAGCAAGACACACACACACAGTAGAGCGAGATAGAAAGCAATGATGTGGTGCACATATCTGCATATTTGTGACGTAACAGCACAAAGTTTCTAAACCAAGAGGTGCAACATCACGAGACTTCCGGGAACGCTTATGAAACAGACCAAGCAGACCAGGCTGGGGTTTGAGAAGTCAATGAGAGGTGAAAAATTATTCCGTAGTTGTGAATTTTCTTGAAATCTAAAGGCACAACCTAGATTCAAGCCAATGTCTTCAGTTGAACATGTTATTACTAGAAACGTGTTAAAGTGACACCTTTTCATTTGTCAAAAACAACTTTATATCGAAGGAGTGCCTTTGATGGCCTGCACATGCGCAGTTCAGCGCGAGACGACCATTAGACCCAATGACGCGTTTCTGCGCATGAGCTTAGCTAACCAATGTCGCCATGACATCGCCGACAAGTGTGATCGGGGATATCTATTGGATAAGCAGTTTCTGCCTATCGTCATACTGCACTGTCTTCGGTAGTAGGCAATTTTCACTGACCACTTTTGGTTTGTGGGCGTTACTTTCAGAACTACTGGCTAAAAAGTATACAAACGCACCAGAAAATATCTTTAAGTTGAATGCACTAACTGTAGCCAAGTCACTCTGGATAAGAGCTCCTGCTAAATGACTTAAATGTAAAATGTTACAGAACACACACACAAATAGCCAAAATTGTAACCCTCACCCCTTTCAGATGAAACATTTTAATTCCAAACATTTCCTGTACATTGGTAAGATAGTATTATCTCTGCAAACATTGCAAACATTCTCTGCATACATTCTTTTATTTAACCTTTATTTAACTAGGCAAGTCAATTAAGAACAAAATCTTATTTTCAAAGACAGCCTACCAAGAAGCAAAACGCCTCCTGTGGGGACGGGGGCTGGGATTAAAAATGTAAGACAAAACACACATCACGACAAGAGAGACAGCACAAGTGCACAACACTACATAAAGAGAGACCTAAGACAACACCACATCATGGTACAAACATTGTTAGGCACAGACAACAGCACAAAGGGCAAAACGGTAGAGACAACAATACAAGTGTCAGTAAAAGTGTCCATGATTGGGACTTTGAATGTAGAGATGGAGATAAAACTGTCAATTTTGAGTGTTTTTTGCAGCTCGTTCCAGTCGCTAGCTGAAGCGAACTGAAAAGAGGAGCGAACCTGGGATGTATGTGCTCTGGGGACCTTAACAGAATGTGACTGGCAGAACGGGTGCTGTATGTTAAGGATGAGGGTATTAGTAGGTATATCAGGGGGGAGTGAGGCCTAAGAGGGTTTTTATAAATAAGCATCAACCACTGGGTCTTGCGCCGGGTATACAGATATGGCCAGTTCACATAGGAGTATAGAGCGCAATGATGTGTCCGATAAGGAGCATTGGTGGTAAATCTGATGGCCGAATGGTAAAGAACATCTAGCCTCTCGAGAGCACCCTTACCTGCCGATCTATAAATGATGTCTCCGTAACCTAGCATGGGTAGGATGAGTCAGGATTAGTTAGTATTATCTAGCTATTAGAGAGCTAAACTGACTGGTGGTGGCTGTCTAACTTAGCTACAAATTAGACACCCAAACAATGAGATATTAGCTGCTGTATCTAGTAGCGAACTATCTTGAATGTTTTGCCTTGTATGTTGCCTATGAATGTTGCACCCTCGATTGCTAACATTAGTCAATAGCAAATATCTACCTCTTTGGTACAATGCTGGCTAACTACAATATCTTTAAGTAGCTAGTTATAAATGTTTAACTCTACAAATTGCACTTGGCTATAGCTAGCTAGCTACCTAGTTAACAACGTTACACCTTGATGTACATTTCTGCCACAGTCTCTTTATCCTCGATGCAATGGCGTCATTGATGCGGCAAGTCAGCTAGCTGTCAATGATCATTGGCAAATCAAGTTGTTCAATAATCAGACAATTGAACATTAAAATGTGAACATGTGATCTATATCATGTCATTAATGACAGGGATAGCTAAATTGCCAATGTAACGTGAGTAGGCTAACGTAGCTAGTTAGCTGCTAAGCTAACAACAGTTAGCTAGCTTTAGTTTGCTACCTGACGTTTGTTATGTCGATAAGCTAGACAACCAATATATATTGACAATATCACCTCACGCCTTGTTATATATATATATATATATATATATTTTTTTTTTAAATAATAATAATAGCAATAGTGGCCCTTACAAAACTTGTATAATTTGGAGGATCGTCTCCCGGTCTTTGGGCACAATGCCGCCGAGTCCGTAACGTTACTTCTGACTTCAGCCCTCGCTAAGCTCTTTGATACCGCCGCGGGCCTCTGCTCATCCCTGCCTGCAATCGAAACCCCGTACTCCGGTGTTTGTCGAAGATTCTCGTTATCCAGGACCCATCTCTTATATATACCGAATATATGATGCAAATAAAGGTTTAGTAAATGACGATCAATCGAGTCAACCTAATTTACCGGCCCTCGCGCAATGACTCGCACTTTGTTTAGGAACAAAAACAGTCCAAACCGAAATCCACTCCGAAGACTTGCCACTTCCTGAAGGCAGCACTGTTGCTACCAAACCAAACCTTCCCCATGTGACCAAGGTTTTCTTGGTTGGTTCTACAGGCGGCTATGCATGCAGGGCATGGAATTAGTAACACTGGTTTATTATAGGGGGGTTATTATAAGGGAATATTGAATAGGACATGAACTTTGGACATGACATTTGTTGACAATCTTCTCCTTAGGTGATCCCCACCATTGCATCTTCAATGTATGTTTATTATAATAATAATAATATGTGCAGTGATGGTGTTCCAGTGTTATAGTCACACAATTTCAGTTTCTCGAGTGCAGAGTGGAAATGCTTTTTCAATGTCTATTTTCAGGTAAACCCAAAACAGTTCTCTCCATTACAAAAAATAATACCAACCATTTAATGTATGCAGGGTTTAATGAGAACATGCATCCATCATTGAATCCAGGAGAGAAATCAGAAACTATGAAAAAGTGACCATTCATCCAGTGGGTAGGATACATAACTTTTGTTCATTGCTTGTTTATCCAGAACAATATATTTCTAAGTTATTTTTTGGCATTCTTTATATTATGAATGTGGCAATGTTTTGGGGGGTGATCTGAGTTTTGGCACAAACATCATGTGCAAATTTCTGTATTTTACATGCACAGATGGACACATTTTAATTGAAATGTCATGTGGAGGCACTTCTATCCTTCAGTTGAAAGTCACTCAGTAATACACAATGTGGCCACACAATGTTATATTAGTTGTGTGAAATCTCACAATCAAAAAGGCACGGTTACACAATGTAGCCGGACAGGCACCTTCATGGCTAGGTGCATAGTGTACAGGCTCAGCAGGGTAAAACAGTAGTCGTTTCACATAGTGTCTGTCAGTGTTGGTTTGACCAGCCAGGTCCTGGCTGTTACTGACAAGTGTTGTAGATCTGGATCTGCTTGTTGATGTTGTTGAGGATAGCCTTCATCTTGTCTTCTAGGCCATCCAACTGCTGGGCTTTGCCCTCCAAAGTTTTCTGGTTCTCTTCATAGTCTTTCTCTAGCTCTGTGGATATAAAGTATGTCAAATTTATATTTTAATGTTTCATCTTAGAATAACCAAACCTGGCTGACAGACCTACAGTTTGGTCTCTGGTCGAAGTACACCACAATCAGACAAATTGAGACAATACAGTGACACTTTTAACCACAAGAGGGCAATGTTGCCTTCGCTATTCTTCAAGGTTAGCGTGTGTAAATCAAAAGTAATGCTGCTCTAAAACAAAGGAGGCCCAGATCCCTCCAGGGTCCCTCGTACACACCTGCTAGTCTCTGGAGCTTGTTCTGGGCATCCTTCAGTAGCTCTTTGGCTTCATCTCTCAGGCGCTCTGCTTTCTTCTTCGCCTCCTGGATGGTCTTGGCTTTCCTGTCCACCAACTCCTGCACTGTGTGATACTTATCTATCAACTCGCCATCTAAAATCTGAGAGAAAGAAGACAGCATAATCAGTAACAGACATGGTATTACAGTCACAAATATACACAAACAAACATACACACCTGCTTGGCCTCATTGGCTTTGTCACGTGCCATAGTGGCTGTCTCCTCAGCTCGAGCTGCTGCCACACTGTTGTGGGCACGTTTGAGCTTCAGAGCATTAATCTCCCGACCTAGGTTGCCCATGCGGTCCATGGCATCATTCAGGTCATGTTCACTGCTGGAGGTCTCAGACTCGATCTAAAAGCAGGGAAAACATCAGGAATGTATTATCTTTTGATTCCTTTATCACATCAAACTGCATATAGATGGTGTCCACTCAGTAGAGTACCTGTGCTAGTCGGGCTTCCGTTTCACCAATGTCAGCCCTAGCCCGCTGTATGGTCTTCTCCGCTGTGACCTGGGCCTTCTTAGCATCCTCAAGTGCCTGTTTCACCGTCTCTGCTGTGGATTTCACCCCCTCTGCCCGATTCCTACAGAACGGAAACACATGTTAGAATCAGGAGTGTCTTGCTGTGCTGGACCATTCCCTTTTACTTGATACTGCTATAATCTACACTGAGTGTACAAAACATTAAGAACACCTTCCTAATATTGAGTTGCACACAACCCCTTTTGCCCTCAGAACAGCACAATTAGTCGGGAATGGACTCTATAAGGTGTGGAAAGCTTTTCAAAGGGATGCTGGCCCATGTTGGGTGGTGGACCATTCCTGATACACACGGGAAACTGTTGAACGTGAAAAACCCAGCAGCGTTGCAGTTCTTGACATAAACTGGTGCACCTGGCACTTACTACCATACCCTGTTCAAAGGCACTTAAATATTTTGTCTAGCACCTACTACCATACCCCCCCTTACGAAAAAATATTGCAGTCAGAGTGCAGTATAACTGCAGTATGCTGCAAATACTGCATCCAAAATAAGTTTTTTTTACTGCAGTTATTCTGCAATTACTGCATCCAAAATAACACAGTCAACTGCAGTTACTACACCTTTACTGCAGTTTCAAAACTGCAATCTTTTTTTGTAAGGCCCGTTCAAAGGCACTTAAATCTTTTGTCTTGCCCATTCACCCACTGAATGTCACACACGCACAATCCATGTCTCAATTGTCTCAAGGTTTAAAAATCCTTCTTTAACCTGTCTCCTCCCCTTCATCTACACTGATTGAAGTGGATTTAACAAGTGACATCAATAAGGGATCATAGCGTTCACCTTGATTCACCTGGTCAGTCTATTTTACATTTACATTTTAGTCATGTAGCAGACGCTCTTATCCAGAGACTTAGTGAGTGCACGGCCGGCCCGCTCATTAGACAGGATTAGGCGGCCTCCTATGGCAGCATTTTCTGAGCTAAACTGACCAAGATAAAATGGAGATAAAATGTATGACAATGTAATGAAATTGACACTTTTTACATCATGCAGGTTTCTCCAATCAAATAGCCTAACCTAAATGGCGCACAATCATATAAAAAATTAGCTGTCATGTTAACAAACAACATATCCTAAAAACTGAACTGGTCAAAGTAAAATGGACAATATGGAATGGACAATCACAACTGTTGTCCAGAAGTTTCACCCTATTGTCATGATCAGTGTTTCAAGTTTGTATCTGTCAATTTTTGACAAGCTGATCATAGCAAAAAATAAAATACTTCTGCATATCCCAGTGTGTAAACACATTGCAAATAGGCTTGCGATAACTCCTGATAAAGTTGGGTAGCTACTAGCTGATATTCAGAGCTTAAATAGCCAAATTGATTAGTCACAGTAATCAAGACTAATAAAGCCAATGCAAGGGCCTGTTTTACAAACGGTGGGCCTACCACATGGATGGGCATTCATAAAATAAAATTTCAGGCAACACTGTAGGCTACACCTCAGTAAGCACAGACCGATGCTGAGCCCTTTTGGACGTCTTTTTTTGGTGCAGTTCCAGACCGGCCTTGATTTCAACATCCACGGATATAGATTTTTGGTCCGGTCTGGACCAGCCTTGATTTGGCCCAAACATAGACGTCTATAAATGACTTATTTTCAACTTTCATTCAGAACCAAAAATGAGCCTGATTTCAATGTCCGGAAAATACGTATTTTTCAACGTCTGGAAAATATGTGTCACGGCCTGACATAGAGTTCGCTAGTTGGTTTGGTCAGGGTGTGAGTATTCTATGTAATGTGTAATTCTATGTGGAGATCTAGTATGTTTAGATCTATGTTGGCCGGGTGTGGTTCCCAATCAGAGGCAGCTGTCGATCGTTGTCTCTGATTGGGGATCATACTTAGGTAGCCTGGTTGTCTACCTTAGTTGTGGGATCTTGACTCGTGTTTGGCTTGTTGTGTGTAGCCACTGTTTGAGCTTCACGTTTCGTTGTTTTGTCAAGTGTTTATTCGTCTTAATAAACATGTACGCATACCACGCTGCACCTTGGTTTGACCCGTCTCTCAACGAACGTGACAGAAGATCCCACCAAACAAGGACCAAGCAGCATGCCCAGGAGAAGCAGAAATCATGGACTTGGGAGGAGATATTAAATGTTAAGGGATCATGGACATGGGAAGAGATCCAGGCTGGGATGGATCGCCTTCCTTGGGAGCAGACAGAGGCAGCAAGGGAGGAGAGACGGCAACTTAAAAGGTCTCGGTCACGAAGAAAGCCAGAGAAGCAGCCCCAATAATTTTTTTTGGGGGGGGCACACGGGGTGGTCGACGAGGCAGCAGGAGGCCGTGAAAGGGCTGACTGTAGAGGAGGGGGCCGCTATTTTAGAGGTCCTCCAAGACCTGCGGATCTGCAGTTTAAGAGAGGAGGCCACCACAGTACGGGGGCTGATAGGGAGAATAGAGCAGGAGAGCTCCCTTCAAGAGGAGGCGCTGCAGGAGGCCCGTAGGGAGAAGGAAGTAGTGGATGCACGGAGAGAGGAGCTGGTCAGGCAACAAAAGGAGCGTGTGTTCATTGAGGAACCAAGGTATGCGGAGATACGCACTGTGTCGCCAGTGCGCATTCACAGCCTAGTGCGTCCTGTGCCAGCGCCCCGCACATGTCGTGCGAGAGTGGGCATCCAGCCAGGACGGGTTGTGCCAGCTGTACACTCCAGACCTCCAGTACACCTCCACGGTCCAGTATATCCTGCTCCGGTTCTACGCACTGTGTCACCAGTGCGCCTCCCCAGCCTGGTACGCCCCGTACCTGCTCCCCGCACCAAACCAGTGGTGCGCGTATCCAGTCCAGTACGACCCGTACCTGCTCCCCGCACCAAACCAGTGGTGCGTGTCGCCAGCCCGGTACGCCCCATACCTGCTCCCCGCACCAAACTAGTGGTGCGCATATCCAGTCCGGTACGGCCTGTACCTGCTCCCCGCACCAAACCAGTGGTGCGTGTATCCAGTCCAGTACGGCCCGTACCTGCTCCCCGCACCAAACCAGTGGTGCGTGTCGCCAGCCCGGTACGCCCCGTACCTGCTCCCCACACCAAACCAGTGGTGCGTGTCTCCAGCCTGGTACAGCCCGTACCTGCTCCCCGACCAAACCAGTGGTGTGTGTTGCCAGCCCGGTACGCCCCGTATCTGCTCCCGCATCAAACCAGTGGTGCATGTATCCAGTCCGGCACAGCCCGTGCCTGCTCCTCGTACCAAACCAGTGGTGCGCGTCTCCAGTCCGGCACGGCCCGTGCCTGCTCCTCGCACCAGACCAGTGGTGCGTGTTCCCAGCCCGGTGCGGCCCATGCCTGTTCCTCGCACCAGACCAGTGGTGCGTGTCCGCAGCCCGGTCAGCTGCTCCACTCCAGTGCCAGAGTAGTCCGCTCCATCGGGGCCCAGTCCAGCTCTGGTCAGCTGCTCCAGTCCAGTGCCAGAGCAGTCCGCTCCACTGGGGTCCAGTTCAGCTCCGGTCAGCTGCTCCACTCCGGAGCCATAGCAGTCCGCTCCACCGGTGCCAAGTCCAGCTCCGGTCAGCGGCTCCACTCCGGAGCCAGAGCAGTCCGCTCCACCGGTGCCTAGTCCAGCTCCGGTCAGCAGATCCACTTCGGAGCCAGAGCAGTCCGCTCCACCGGTGCCAAGTCCAGCTCCAGTCAGCGGCTCCACTCTGGAGCCAGAGCAGTCTGCTCCACCGGGGTCCAGTTCAGCTCCGGTCAGCGGCTCCACTCCAGGCCCAGACGTCAGCCCCTCTCCAGGGTCGGGCCTCCCACACCAGGGTCCAGACAGGGCTTGGTGCATCGCGGAAGGATTGCCGATCCAGGCCCAGACGTCAGCCCCTCTCCAGGTTCGGGGCCTCCCACACCAGGGTCCAGACAGGGCTTGGTGCATCGTGGGAGGAAGGAGAGGGGAAGCATCGCGCCGAGGTCCAGAACAGACCAGGGGTGCAACGGGGAGTCAGAGAGGGAGAGGTCGTCACGCCCGGAGCCGGAGCCGCCTCCGAGGCTGGATGCCCACCCGGACCCTCCCCTAATGAGTCAGGTTGGTGTGGCCGGAGTACGCACCTTTGGGGGGGGGGGGGGGGGTACTGTCACGTGTCATGTGGAGATCTAGTATGTGGAGATCTAGTATGTTTAGATCTATGTTGGCCGGGTGTGGTTCCAAATCAGAGGCAGCTGTCGATCGTTGTCTCTGATTGGGGCTCATACTTAGGTAGCCTGGTTGCCTACCTTAGTTGTGGGATCTTGACTCTTGTTTGGCTTGTTGTTGTAGCCACTGTTTGAGCTTCACGTTTCGTTGTTTTGTCAAGTGTTTATTCGTCTTAATAAACATGTACGCATACCACGCTGCACCTTGGTCTGACCCGTCTCTCAACGAACGTGACAATATGCCTATTCAATGTCCTGGAGGGGGGGGGAATACACACACACACACACACACACACCTGGCCTTCTTGGCCTCCTGCAGCAGCTGCTCTGCTTTGCGCACATCATCCTGTGTCTGTTGCAGAATGGTGTCTACGTTGGAGAGGCTTCGGACCCGGTCCTTGATCTCCTCTGCCAGGTGTCTGATCTGCTGGGGTGAGGCTGGAATGGACAGCTCCAGGACACGGTTGGCCACCGTCTCAATGCTGTCTGGATCAGCACCCTCCTCTGCAAGGAGATGGATATTCAGATCAGCACAGATAATTTTGACGTAGAATGGGAAGTTAACACTTAGTGATGATGATCATGATGACAATCCTGAGTTTAAGATAAATTGCTTGTATGGTCCCATGTAGACAAGGAACTTACTTTTCCTAGAATATCTGAATTTCCTATCACTTTAGCCAACTCACGCATGAGGAAGTCCCGGATCTGCTTTATGAGGTCTCGCAGGTCATTGTTGGAGCGCTCCACCTTGTTCTTGGTGTTGGTGGCCTTGTCCAGAGCTGCCTGGGCTTTACCTTTCGCCTCCTCCGCCTTGGTCTTGGCATCTGCCACCTGAGAAGCCATACAGGGGGATACAGAGAATCAGGGATAACTGTTATCAAGTACCCTCATACTGTAGGTGATACAGCTGTATGCTTTAGTGGCATGCCGCAATAGAATTTGCAGGTCTCCATTTCCTATCACTGTAACTGACCTTGTGGAAGAGCTCCTCTACCTCCCCCATGGCTTTGTTCAGCTCTTTTTCTGCATGCTTAGACCTCTTCAGGGCGTTATCTGCCATCGCTACGGCACCGTTGCAGTTCAGGCCTCCGCAGTGCCTGTTCCCCTCATCATCACGGCAACCTGCTCCTCCGCAAAGGCTCTCTGCACAGGGGGCATCGCCAGGGGCCCCACAGACCTGATCAAAGGGGGTGGGGGAGGAACATGTATCAGATTACTACATTTGTTTATAACTTTGCCTGAACTCTTCCTCTGGTCTTGTGCTGTTTAAGGGGTTTAATCCAATCAGACAGATGATGCTTGCTTCACCTTCTCGTTGATCTTCTTCATGTCCAGGGTCTGTGCCTTTGCATTGAGGTCCCCCAGGGCTCGCTTGTTGACAGCGTTCTTACGGTTGAAGTCATCTTTCTTGGCAGAGATGAGGTGTTCTGTCTTGCGGCGTGTGTCTGCTGATTGGCTGACAGTGCTGGGCGTGGTGGTGGTTGACTGGTTGGCTCGCCGCTCTGCATCACGGGACTTGTTATAGGAGCTGCGGATGCTGTCATATGCACCTGGAGGAATGAGCGTGCAAACTAATAATAAGAACACATTTAATACTACATTTAACTAATATTTAAAAAGTATTTCTACAACAAAACATTGATAGCATCAGTCATTATGGCACTATGTATCCCAGAAAACCTCTGGTGGAAGGGGGAAAGGAAGTCTCTGCTCACCCAGGAAGTTGGAGTTCTTGAGGATGTCTAGTTGACGGTGGAGCTGATCTGAGGTCAGGTTCAGCTGTTTGGCCTCTCTCTCCAGAGCACTGAGCTTATTACTGGCCTCAACGTTGCTGTTCTGCACACTGGTCAGGTCTCCCTCCAGACTATTCAGTGTGTCTGTGGTCTCCCCTATCTGAGACCTGCATGAGAAAGGGACAGGAAAGTACAGTTAAACTCCAAAACTGGAAGAGAGGCATATTTATGGTGAATCTTTATGCAGACTGAAAGTCTATCGATGTATGTGTATTGTTATGTACAGTATAATACAGTGTCTGTGTGTATGCCTTGTACCTGAGGTCTTCAATGAGCTCCATCAGGCTGCTGACTGCCTCTGCGGTGGTGTTGCGGGCGTTGACAATGCCCTGGGCCAGTGCCAGCTTCTCCTCCAGGTCTCTGAAGGCCTTCTCATAGGCTCCAGTCAGGCCCGTGGTCTGGATCTCTAGAGCCCGCTCCGACAGGGCCTTGGTGCGGACAGCCAGGTCCTGCACCACCCGGTCCCAGTCCCCGAAGCACTGGTGGCAGGGCTGGCAGTTAGGGAACTGGCCTGAGAAGCCCCGGGCACACTGGTCACAGCGCACGCCCGACACCCCCTGCTGACACACACAGTGGCCTGACTTCTGGTCACACTGGGAGGTCTCTATGCCCCGGCGGTCACAGTCACAGACTGAGAGATAGAGAGAGAGAGAGAGTGAGGGATTGTTAGTATATGTCTGCTGCTGATATTTTGATGCCACACTTATGAATAACATGTTCCATGACTTATGAATGACATGTTCCATGACTTATGAATGACATGTTCCATTACTTATGAATAACATGTTCCATGACTTATGAATGACATGTTCCATGACTTATGAATAACATGTTCCATGACTTATGAATGACATGTTCCATGACTTATGAATGACATGTTCCATGACTTATGAATGACATGTTCCATGACTTATGAATGACATGTTCCATGACTTATGAATAACATGTTCCATGACTTATGAATGACATGTTCCATGACTTATGAATAACATGTTCCATGACTTATGAATGACATGTTCCATGACTTATGAATAACATGTTCCATGACTTATGAATGACATGTTCCATGACTTATGAATAGCATGTTACATGAGTTATGAATAACATGTTCCATGACTTATGAATAACATGTTACATGAGTTATGAATAACATGTTCCATGACTTATGAATAACATGTTACATGAGTTATGAATGACATGTTCCATGACTTATGAATAGCATGTTACATGAGTTATGAATAACATATTCCATGACTTATGAATAGCATGTTACATGAGTTATGAATAACATGTTCCATGACTTATGAATAACATATTCCATGACTTATGAATAACATGTTACATGAGTTATGAATAACATGTTCCATGACTTATGAATAACATGTTCCATGACTTATGAATAACATGTTAAATAAGTTATAATAACGTTACATGACGCTAATGCTGACCTCTGCACTGGATCTTGGGGTCTCCCCAGTAGTTCTCTTGGCAGTCTGTGCAGGTCTTCCCACCGAATCCATCACGACACTGACACTTTCCAGTGAACTGGGGCATAGGGAGGTCAAACATGAGCATGAGGTCACAGAAGAGGTCTCTCATAAAGCACCTTAGTAATGGAACCACACACACACACAAACCTCGTTGCAAGCAGAGTTGACAGCGTTGTTGAGGTCACAGCCGCAGGCCTCACAGCCCCGCCCACTAGCCAGGTTCCAGTAGTTGGGCTTACAGTGGTCACATGTCAGGCCGATAGTATTGGGTAAACACTGGCACTGCCCCGTGGCACGCTGGCACACACACTCATCCCGCGCTGTACACTGGGTATGCTCTGTGCCCAGGAAGTTACAGGTGCACTCTGGGAAAACATACGGAAGAGAGTAGATTGAAACTTTCCTAGGGTGCACAACACATACAGTCTAAATGCAACATTTCTAAAATTAAAGGTTCTTACGTTTTTTGGTGTGTAAAGAGGATGCGTCAACAGTGACTCACTTCTGCAGTTGCGTCGCGAGGCGTCTCCATAGTAACCGCTCTTGCACACACCACAGTCTGGTCCCTCTGTGTTGTAGAGACACTTCTTACACTCTCCTGTCCGCCGGTCACACGCATCCAGGTCTGACATGTCAATGTTATTACTGCATCTGCACGGCTGGCACCGCCCACCTGGCTGGGAGGGGTTACCATAGTAACCAGGGGCGCACTCCTCACACCGGGAACCTGTGACCAATAGGAAAAAAGGTTGAGGGAGAAGGAGGGACATTTAAAAAAAGAAAGTGTTGGAAAGTGGAATATCTCATGTTGAGATTTAGATATTTAGGCCTCCCGAGTGGCGCAGCGGTCTAAGGCACTACAGACCCGGGTTTGATCCCGGCCTGTGTTGCAGCCGGCGGCGACCGGGAGACCCATGAGGCGGTGCACAATTGGCCCAGCGTCGTCCGGGTTAGGGGAGGGTTTGGCCGGCCGGGATGTCCTTGTCCCATCGCGCTCTAGCGACTCCTGTGGCGGGCCAGGCGCATGCACGTTGACTTCGGTCGCCAGTTGTACAGTGTTTCCTCCGACACATTGGTGCGGCTGGCTTATGGGTTAAGCGAACAGTGTGTCAAGAAGCAGTAAGGCTTGGCAGGGCCGTGTTTCGGAGGACGCATGACTCTCGACCTTCGCCTCTCCCGAGTCCGTACGGGAGTTGCAGTGATGTAACTATCAATTGGATATCACCAAATTGGGGAGAAAAAAGGGGTACATTTTTTAAAGCAAATAAAAAAATTAAAAGAGATTGAGATATTTCTTGGCTGGGTGATGGAGAAAAATGACTTGGTATATCTTAAGTATTTCCAAACTGTTTTCCAGTGGACTTAAGCAAGACGCTTACAGCGTGATAGCTTCTGTAGACAGAGTAATGTGCTGTGTGTGAAACCCACCTCAGTGACTATCAGTAAAGTAGTTATCAGAATGTTACTCAAACTGTAAACATCATGTTATACATTTGATTAGTTTTTATATTTTATCATTGTGCAATGCTATTATATCTTGGGTTAAAAGGGAGTTGGTTACCCAGGAGATTAACAGTGATTAGTGAGGATCTCTGTGATCACACTGTTGCAAAGTGGATTATGCTCAGTCTTTCGGCAGACACCGTGAACAATTAGCTTTTCTTACAAAGAGCCCATTTCTTCTTAATATGGATTCAGAGGAAGGGAGACATACTTGCCATTTTTGAGTCCAGCTGACGGCTACAGGGGGCAGAGTATGCTGGTGTGTGAGGGGGGCTGACTTTTGGGTCTGACAGACAACCTACAGCTGCTGGTCTTGTGGTCTCTCCAGCATAACAAGGAGAGAGGCCACTCTTAGCAGGGAAGTACTGTATTCTAACCCATAGTGGAACACAACATAGGACTTCCTCATTTAACGGACAAGATTTCCTCACTTGATTGATAAAGGGGCATTGTGATACTATTCTTTTGTGTTTAGGTGATCATTGTGTCTTTGTTTTTTTGTCTTTCTGTCTTTGAGGAGCAAACTAAATGTATAGAATAAAAGGATATGACACATAGAAGGGGCTGTTGATGGTAAGTAAGTTTACAGTAAAGCACATCATATTGAGCTGATTGCAGCAAAGCTGTCTAAAGCAGAGTATGCAGAATGCTTGTTTGTCTTTCTGTCACAGGCTCACAGTGGATGTGAATGAACAATAGGTTGGCGTAGTCTCACTAGCTTCAGCTTGTCTACTATGAGTGATGTACCTGTTACTGTCTTTTGTGTCTGCAATAGAGGCAGAGAATCACAATGCAAAATGCAGCGTGGCAGAGATTCTGTTGTTTTCAGCTGGTTGACTGTCCGGCTGCTTGGTGCCTGTGTAAGCCAGCAGGAGTAACAAGCACTGACTGTATGTGCCCAGTATAACATTATAGTTGTTATACACAGGAGACACTGTAGAATTTCACCCAGACTCAGAGTTCACCCAAGTTCACTCAAACACAGTTATTTGTGTTATACAATTTGTCTAAACTGATTATTGGTCAGATCTTGGGAGCTCCATCTACTCTGAGGCAGGAGTGCACTGTGGCACAGCACCATAGATGGGTGGGGTGCTGAAGCCATGCAGGGGGCGGGGGGGTTGGTAAGGAGGGTGGGGGTCACCATCATCATTACTCACGCTTGAAGGAACCCTCGGAGCGCTTAACCATCCCCCCTGTGCCAAGTTGGGTAAGGGAGGAAACAACACACATTATCATTCCACATTTTTCCTGGTAGGATAAACGTTCTACTAGAGTAGTGTCTATTTGGCTCACCAAAAGACCCAACATGGCGAATGACTTGGAATATCACACCATGGACATTTTCCCTGAGTTTAATCACACTAACATATCTCTTTTCACAGTGCATCATCAACCCTATGATGCATCTGCTCATTCATGCAGACATGATCAAAAGTCCTTCGTCCGCTTCCCTGGCTGAAGAAGAGGAGGAAGAACAGGGGAGGGAGAAAGAGAAGACACCTCAATGGAGAAATGGAGGCGTGGGCTGTACCTGTGTATCCTTGGTTACAGTTGCAGACCACTTGTCTGTTGCGGTTGTCCTGGTAACAGGAGGCAGCGAAGTGGCGTCCGCTGTTTGGGCCATCTGGGCAGGGGCAGGGCCGACATTGGTTACCATTACCTGTGCCCAACACTGGGTTGCCATAGTAACTGTTGGCACACCTTGAAATACAGCAATAGCAGTTGGCTTGTCAATAACATTACATTGACTACCTTAATTCTTATTCCAGATTCCCCACTGTCCCCATGGTGAATCCTAACCTGTCACATTTGTCTCCTCCAGTGTTGTCCCTGCAGTTGAGACAGGCTCCGGTCCTCTGGTGGCACTCCTCAGCGTGTCCATTACACAGGCATTGCTTACAGTTGGGGAAGCCCCAGTGTCCTGCCTGGCAACCATTGCACCGCTGGCCAAACGCACCCGGGCGGCACGGGCACTGCCCAGTCAGCTGGTCACAGAACCGAGTGACCACACCTTCCAGATTGCACTCACATGCTAGAGAGAGCGGGAGGGAGGGAGCGAGAGAAAGAGATTTATAGGAAAGTGTAGATCAAGAGAGGAGTGGGTCAGTAAGTAATGAGGCAGCAGGGGGCGCCACCAGTACAGCTGTTCACATAAGTGGAATAGACAGACAGTACAGTCCAATGCGCCTTTGCAGAATAAACCCTACTGTACCCTACTGGATAACACCAGGAGTTGCCTTTACTCTTTGTGCGACACTAACATTTACATCCTGCAGGTCCAAAGCCGTACGTCCCAGGAGCACACTGGTCACAGCGACGTCCAATCACGTTTGGCCTACAGCGACACTGACCTCCGTGCATGTCACATACTGAGCTGACTGAGCCCTGGGGGTCACACTGGCAAGCTGTGAAGAAAAAAGAAGTGATTTTCATTTCATTGTGAAAATAATTACCAGGCATCCTTGATGACAGCAGATCTTGATTATGGATGAGGGAATTTCTGGAATGACTTACGCAGGGCTCCATCGTTAATGATGGCTGACATGCTGGTGATGAGTTTGGCACAGACGTCGCTGATCTGGGGGCGTGTCACGCTCTTGGCCCCCTCATGGCAGCGGTAACGCTCGTAGCTCTGCTTCCGGGCGATGGAGGCGGGGTCACCGCCAATGAACATCTCCAGGGAGGAGTAACGAGGGAGCAGGGAGATCTGGAGAGGAAGCAGGGAGGAGCGTTAGCTGGACTGCATAAGAACATAATTAGACAGAGAGAGAGAGAGATAAAGAGATTTGCAGACCAAATCTTGTTGAGTGTTAAGGTTTTTTAAATAATTTATTTTGTAATTTTTACCCTTTTTTTGTGATATCTAATTGGTAGTTACGATCTTGTCTCATCAATGCAACTCCCCTACAGGCTTGGGAGAGGCGAAGGTCGAGTCATGTGTCCTGCGAAACATGACCCGCCTAGCCGCGCTGCTTCTTAACACACTGCTCACTTAACCCAGAAGCTAGCTGCACCAATGTGTCAGAGGAAACACTGTTCAACTGACGACCGAAGTCAGTTTGCAGGCGCACGGGCCGCCACAACGAGCGCGATGAGCCAAGGAAAGCCCCCCGGCCAAACCGTTCCCTAACCCAGATGATGGTGGGCCAATTCTGCGCCGCCCTATGGGGCTCTCAGTCACGGCCGGCTGAGATACAGCCTGGGATCAAACCCCCGGCTGTTGTGGCGCCTCAACACTGTGATGCAGTGCCTTAGACCGCTGCGCCACTCGGGAGGCTCAATTTGTTGAGTCTTGATACTCACAGAGTCCACTAGAATGTTGGCAGCGGTAGTACCGAGAATGAGAATACTGTTCCCATCCAGATAGCCACTGAACTCAAAGCGAAGAGTGTAGGTCACTCCTCTCTCCATGCATACAGGTTGAGGCAGCACGACAAACCTGCAGCACACACAAACACACAAACCACACACAGAAAAATGCAAACTTTAAGGAAATACAAAATTACTAACATCCAATTACACAAGTGTATCACTGTCACCTGAGCCAGACACAAGGGCACTGTATATTCCATGGTGAGGTGTGTGTGAGTCCCTCACCTGGATCCTACAGGCAGGGACACAGTGAGCATGTCGTCTGCAGGGATGGTGTTTCCACATGGGCTGCTGGTGGGAATGGGCCCTGGCCGAATGATCGTCACACGGACCTCCCCCCAGTCACGTGGCATCTAACACAACACACACACCACATTAACAGTCATATACAGTTACACACTGTACCGTGCACACCCAGAAAACAGAAGGGAGTGTGTGTGTGTGTGCGTACGTACGTGCGCGTATGTGCGTATGTGTTAGGCTTGGGCGGTATACCGTACATACGTATACCGGGGTATTTGGAAAAAGCCACGGGATGATTTTTCAATACTGTCAAAACTATTTCTTAGAAGTTTTTCAATACATTTAAATATTTGTAGCTACTTTTTAAGTTAATATCTGCAGTCAACTTGTGCAATACAGAGATAAAGCAGATTGTGTTCTTCATTTTACCTGTCACATTATTTTACATTATGAAGCTTACCATTGTTCCCCAGAACAGTTGAGCCACTCACGTGTTTGTTTGTAAACAGCACAATGAGAGAAAGTGAGCCAATGAGTCCATAGCGCTCTACATCTATCAGTGAGTCTCTGTTGTGTGGCGCACATGAGATGATGAAGTTACACTTGTAAGCAATTCACTACAACATGTTTGCCATCAGTTATCTTATAATGGCTTTCTGCCAGAAGTCAAAGAGCTGTGGATGAGTTATCTGTACAGCTGTCATTTTTTCCCTGTGCTTCCTACTAGCGTTTTTTCCCTCCTCCGTTTTTCTCCCATTTTCTCCATGTACACATACTGCTCTTCCTTCAGAAAAGCATGCATCATAACTTTGTTCATTTGCACAATTTATCTCATTCACTTTCGCTTGTAAATGTCCACACTACTACTAGATATGCTTGTATAACTTTATGAGCTGGATTTGCCTGTTTTTGCAATTAGTTTATGTTAGTTTTCACTCGTTAGCATTTAGCTAACAGCATCTATGTGATTTCGCTATTAGTTTGTACTAATTTTGTTAGCATTCTGGTAATAGAGGCCCAATGGGCTTTTCTTGCGTTTTAATGCCCCCTTGTGTGCTATGCTGGTAATACCGTAAATCCCGGTATGAGAGAAGGATGGTATGACAATATGAAAATCTTGATACCGCCCAAGCGTCGTATGTGTGTGACTAGGCACTAACCTGTGGCTCATAGCGGATGAGGAGGTCGTACTCCATGGAGTACGGGATGTTGTTGATGGAGAACTCCAGGCTGCTGCCCTCTGGGACCTTGGCAAACCCAGTGCCAGTCCAGGTGGCAGGGCGCCCAGGCTGGTGCTCCCTCTGCTCCACACTGCAGCCCTGGAGACACACAAATACCATCAAGCATTCACACAAAGTCAAACATAGACAGTACAAACAATCCAAATAAGGGTCCACCCCAGTCTTATCTGTAAGAAGTAGTAGTTACCTGTCCCAGTATGGCAAGCTCAGCCTCGTAGGTATAGTGGTCCAGAGCCATGAAGTACCACCCAGACTCCACCTGGGTACATTGACGGCCCATCATATGACTACGACAGCGGCACTGCCCATTCTCCATTGAGCAGCTGGGGAAGACACATAAGAAATCTATGCAGTAAGCATGTAACCCCTCGACAGCACCCCCAACCCAGAACATCTTCCTGCGGCCATGCTGTCACTCACTGGTTATCTGTGGCTCCGCCCACATCACAGTCACAGTCTCTGCAGCCATTCAGGTCGTGACTCAGTGCCCAATGTTCTGGCTGTGGGCAGACAAACAGACAGCTGTTAGCACCAGACAGATGACATTCCTGACTACCTACTACATCAGCCAGGGTTACTGGACCTTACATCATAGGTAACTTCTCAGATATCTCAACCAGGTGTTCCTAGCTCCAAAATGACATACTGTAGATACATCCTGTCTGTCAAAGGACAGGCTGGTAGAGCTTAAGTTATGGGTGCAAAATAGTGGTTGTCTGTTCTTGACTTTAAAACAAGCCTTTATGTCGTCTGCCAAGTGGCGCAGTGGTCTAAAGTGCCACTAGAGATCCTGGTTCGAATCCAGGCTCTGTCGTAGCCGGCCGTGACCGGGAGACCCATGGGGCGGCGCACAATTGGTCAAGGGTAGGGGAGGGAACGGCTGGCAGGAATGTAGCTCAGTTGGTAGAGCATGGCATTTGCCTATGCCAGGGTTGTGGGTTCGATTCCCACGGGGGGCCAGTATGAAAAAAATAAAAATAATGTATGCACTCACTAACTGTAAGTTGCTCTGGATAAGAGTGTCTGGTAAATGTAGCTTTTTAGAGTTTAGGATCCACTTAGTCAGGACTACAGCTGACCATTTTTAGCATGCTGTAACCTACACCAACCGGAGAGGCCTGACTAAATTTAGATATGAAGCCCCAAGCAGGGCTTTACATTCCTGGGTACTGTTACTGGCACAGCAAGGAAGTTATGTGAGTGACAGGGGGATGTGAATCACTCAGAAACACCAATGACTCTTCGGGAGGGTGTATGTATGTACAGTTGAAGTCGGAAGTTTACCTACACCTTAGCCAAATACATTTAAACTCGTTTTTTCACAATTCCTGACATTTAATCCTAGTGAAAATTCCCTGTTTTAGGTCAGTTAGGATCACCACTTTATTTTAAGAATGTGAAATGTCAGAATAATAGTAGAGAGAATTATTTATTTCAGCTTTTATTTCTTTCATCACATTCCCAGTGGGTCAGAAGTTTACATACACTCAATTAGTATTTGGTAGCATTGCCTTTAAATTGTTTAACTTGGGTCAAATGTTTTGGGAGCCTTCCACAAGCTTCCCACAATAAGTTGGGTGAATTTTGGCCCATTCCTCCTGACAGAGCTGGTGTAACTGAGTCAGGTTTGTAGGCCTCCTTGCTCGCACATGCTTTTTCAGTTCTGCCCACACATTTTCTATAGGACTGAGGTCAGGGCTTTGTGATGGCCACTCCAATACCTTGACTTTGTTGTCCTTAAGCCATTTTGCCACAACTTTGGAAGTATGCTTGGGGTCATTGTCCATTTGGAAGACCCATTTGCGACCAAGCTTTAACTTCCTGACTGATGTCTTGAGATGTTGCTTCAATATATCTGCATGATTTTCCTTCCTCATGATGCCATCTATTTTGTGAAGTGCACCAGTCCCTCCTGCAGCAAAGCACCCCCACAGCATGATGCTGCTACCCCCGTACTTCACGGTTGTGATGGTGTTCTTCGGCTTGCAAATGTCCCCCTTTTCTTCCAAACATAACAATGGTAATTATGGCCAAACAGTGCTATTTTTGTTTCATCAGACCAGAGGACATTTCTCAAAAAAGTACGATATTTGTCCCCATGTGCAGTTGCAAACCGTAGTCTGGCTTTTTTATGCCGGTTTTGGAGCAGTGGCTTCTTCCTTACTGAGCGGCCTTTCAGGTTATGTCGATATAGGACTCGTTTTACTGTGGATATAGATACTTTTGTACCTGTTTCCACCAGCATCTTCACAAGGTCCTTTGCGGTTGTTCTGGGATTGATTTGCACTTTTCGCACCAAAGTACGTTCATCACTAGGAGACAGAACGTGTCTCCTTCCTGAGCGGTATGACGTCTGCGTGGTCCCATGGTGTTTATACTTGCGTACTATTGTTTGTACAGATGAACGTTTTACCTTCAGGCGTTTGGAAATTGCTCCCAAGGATGAACCAGACTTGTGGAGGTCTACAGTATTTTTTCTGAGGTCTTGGCTGATTTCTTTTGATTTTCCCATGATGTCAAGAAAAGAGGCACTGAGTTTGAAGGTAGGCCTTGAAATACATCCACAGGTACACCTCCAATTGACTCAAATGATGTCAATTAGCCTATCAGAAGCTTCTAAAGCCATGACATCATTTTCTGGAATTTTCCAAGCTGTTTAAAGGCACAGTCAACTTAGTGTATGTAAACCTCTGACCCACTGGAATTGTGATACAGTGAATTATAAGTTAAATACAAATTATTTGTGTCATGCACAAAGTAGATGTCCTAACCGACTTGCCAAAACTATAGTTTGTTAACAAGAAAGTTGTGGAGTGGTTGAAAAAAACGAGTTTTAATGACTCCAACCTAAGTGTATGTAAACATCCAACTTCAACGGTATTACATTTAAGTCATTTAGCAGACGCTCTTATCCAGAGCGACTTACAGTTAGTGAGTGCATACATTTTCATACTGGCCCCCTGTGGGAAACGAACCCACAACTCTAGCGTTGCAAGCACCATGCTCTACCAACTGAGCTACAGGGGACAACTTACAGTGAGGGAAAAAAGTATTTGATCCCCTGCTGATTTTGTACGTTTGCCCACTGACAAAGACATGATCAGTCTATAATTTTAATGGTAGGTTTATTTGAACAGTGAAAGACAGAATAACAGCAACAAAATCTAGAAAAACGCATGTCAAAAATTATATAAATTGATTTGCATTTTAATGAGGGAAATACGTTTTTGACTCCTCTGCAAAACATTACTTAGTACTTGGTGGCAAAACCCTTGTTGGCATTCACAGAGGTCAGACGTTTCTTGTAGTTGGCCACCAGGTTTGCACACATCTCAGGAGGGATTTTGTTCCACTCCTCTTTGCAGATCTTCTCCAAGTCATTAAGGTTTCGAGGCTGACGTTTGGCAACTCAAACCTTCAGCTCCCTCCACAGGCCTTGTGTTTTGGGTCATTGTCATGCTGGAATACCCATCCACAACCCATTTTCAATGCCCTGGCTGAGGGAAGGAGGTTCTCACCCAAGATTTGACGGTACATGGCCCCGTCCATCGTCCCTTTGATGCAGTGAAGTTGTCCTGTCCCCTTAGCAGAAAAACACCCTCAAAGCATAATTTTTCCACCTCCATGTTTGACGGTGGGGATGGTGTTCTTGGGGTCATAGGCAGCATTCCTCCTCCTCCAAACACGGTGAGTTGAGTGGATGCCAAAGAGCTCCATTTTGGTCTCATCTGACCACAACACTTTCACCCAGTTCTCCTCTGAATCATTCAGATGTTCATTGGCAAACTTCAGACGGCCCTGTATATGTGCTTTCTTGAGCAGGGGGACCTTGCGGGTGCTGCAGGATTTCAGTCCTTCACGGCGTAGTGTGTTACCAATTGTTTTCTTGGTGACTATGGTCCCAGCTGCCTTGAGATCATTGACAAGATCCTCCCGTGTAGTTCTGGGGTGATTCCTCACCATTCTCATGATCATTGCAACTCCACGAGGTGAGATCTTGCATGGAGCCCCAGGCCGAGGGAGATTTACAGTTATTTTGTGTTTCTTCCATTTGCAAATAATCGCACTAACTGTTGTCACCTTCTCACCAAGCTGCTTGGCGATGGTCTTGTAGCCCATTCCAGCCTTGCGTAGGTCTACAATCTTGTCCCTGACATCCTTGGAGAGCTCTTTGGTCTTGGCCATGATGGAGAGTTTGGAATCTGATTGATTGATTTCTTCTGTGGACAGGTGTCTGTTATACAGGTAACAAGCTGAGATTCGGAGTACTCCCTTTAAGAGTGTGCTCCTATAATAATAATATAATATGCCATTTAGCAGACGCTTTTATCCAAAGCGACTTAGTCATGTGTGCATACATTATTTAATTTCTTTTTTTTTTGTGTATGGGTGGTCCCGGGGATCGAACCCACTACCCTGGAGTTACAAGCACATTGCTCTACCAGCTGAGCTACAGAGGACCACCTAGGACCTCCTAATCTCAGCTCGTTACCTGTATAAAAGACACCTGGGAGCCAGAAATCTTTCTGATTGAGAGGGGGTCAAATACTTATTTCCCTCATTAAAATGCAAATCAATTTATAAAATTTTTGACATGGGTTTTTCTGGATTTTATTGTTGTTATTCTGTCTCTCACTGTTCAAATAAACCTACCATTAAAATTATAGACTGATCATTTCTTTGTCAGTGGGCAAACGTACAAAATCAGCAGGGGATCAAATACCTTTTTCCCTCACTGTATGCATGTCTGTACAGTACCAGTCAAAGGTTTGGACACACCTACTCGTTCAAGGGTTTTTCTTTATTTTTTATTATTTTCTACATTGTAGAATAATACTACATGATTCCATATGTGTTATTTCATAGTTTTGATGTGTTCACTATTATTCTAAAATGTAAAAAATATAGAAAAACCCTTGAATGAGTAGGTGTGTCCAAACCTTTGACTGGTAGTGTATGAATGAAAGGAAGGGGGGGGGGGGGGAGATGAGAGAGAAACAAATGAGAGAGAGCCGAGAGAGGGAAGAGAGAGTGTATCTCTGTGTGTTATGGTTAGAAGAGGGAGGCTCTCCTGGACCCTTACCAGACACTGGTCACAGCTGCGTCCAGTGACCAGTCGCTTGCAGAAGCAGTCCCCGCTCACAGGGTCACACTTTGGGCTCTCTGACACAGTACCCCTGGGGTCACACTGGCAGGCTGAGGGGGGCATAGTAGTAGTTATGGGGGCATACATTATTTTATTCAAAGCACTGAGAGAGATTAACAAAAAATATTAAACAAAAGATTGTTCCAAAATCTAACATAAAAAATACACAAAATGGGGGTCATTTGGACTACAATCAGTGCAATTTGTCAGAATGAATCATGATTGTGCTCCTCTCCACTCACGTTGGCACCCGCGGGGGTTCTCTGCACTCAGGCCGAAGAAGCCAGACTTGCATTTGTCACAGCGATGCCCCTCCACGTGGTCCTTACAGCGGCACTGCCCAGCGATCATGCCCAAGGACGGCTCGTCATGCCCGTCACAGATGCCCCCGTTCAGGGAACCATCAGGATCACAGTCACAGGCTGGCAGGAGGAAGACAACAAACATCCTGTTAAACTTAACCACCATAATCATACAGTAGTACGTACTACCTAGAAAACGTGTAAACACACTAACATCTAATGGACATAAAGTGACACCAGGGATTCAAACGTGAAAATAACCTGTACACGTACATACCTATGCCATCACTCATACACAGAATGATAATGTGAGAAATATACACACAGTTCCTGTGCCCCAGTCCTGAGGGTCGATCCCCTCTACTCACCAATGCAGATCCCTGGGTCTCTGATGTCCCTGCTGGGGTCCTTATAGTAGAATGGTTTACACATCTCACAGTTGCGTCCCATGGTGTTGTGGAGACAGTGGTCACAGACGCCACCGCTGGCATTGCCCGTGGCCAGGTAAACCGCCATGTCAAAGTGGCACTGGTTGGAGTGGCCGTTACAGTTACATTCTGGGAGAGACAAAGGGTACAGAAACTAACATCATAATCAAGATTCTCATTCCTTTGGTTATGACTTATGACTGGTGTGTTCATAATAATAATAATCAGTGATGTTAGGAGAGGAGTAAGAGATGTTGCTTGTTATGGTGTGGTCCACCACCACTCACTCTTGCAGGCGTTGGTGTTGCGTCCCTCAGCCGGTCTCCAGGGCATGTCGCTATGGAAGTCATCACACAGCTCACAGTTCAGACCCTTCGTGTTGTGCTTGCAGACACACCTCCCATGGACCTGGGAGACAGGGAGGCTGAATTACACAAATCGCAGGGAATTCTAAACAAACCCTCACATTCTAACTCCTCTCTGCACAGATGCCTCTGTTTTCATACACAGCAATCTATATAGGGTAGTCTTCCTCCATACAACTAGGGGGCAGTGCTGTGTTCCCCTTACTTACCATGCCCTCCTCATCCTTGATCCCATCGATGGGGGCACACTCGGAGGCGTGGCCATAGCAGAAGCAGTTGCCGCGGACGACCAGCTCGTACATGGCATAGTAGTACTTCTCCTTGATCTCCACGCGGGAGTCCAGCAGGTTATCTCCCAGGGTGTGCAGCTTGGTGAAGTTCACACGCAGGTTAGTGATCTTCAGCTGGTCTTCAGGATACAAGAGGAAGAGAAGAGAGGTAGAGGGGGGAGACAGAGAGATTAGGAGATATACAACAAGATATACAACGAGCTATATGAACATCCTAATTCCTATACTTCAAAGCCAAAGGAAAGGTTACAGCTACCTTTCCTTTGTGGGTGTGGGGGGGGGGGGGGGGGGGGGGCAGTACAGGCCCTGGCGGGGTAAGAAGGAGAGACCTCGGGAGGAGTGGTGAAAATAAGGGGGGACTGAAAGGGCAGGGGCAGGGAGGGTGTTGTTAGGAGACTTGGGTTGCTTCCCAAATGGTACCCTATTCCCTATATAGTGCACTACTTTTGACCAGAGCCTTATGGGCCCTGGTCAAAAGTAGTGCACTATAAAGGGAATAGGGTACCATTTGGGACGCAACCTTGATAAACTCTCACAGAGGGACGGTAGGTTGCTACTGTGCACAGAACATTCCCTGCTGTCAGTCACGCTCCAGCTGTTCACTAGGAAACCATACACAAAATGTATCATTTTACCAAATATTTACGAAGAGGTCATCATTTCATGGAGTCTGTGAAGAAAGAAACCACATGGAAAAGTGGTAAGCAAGTTAGGTCCAAAAAAACGGATTTTCCCCAAGTCAAATGAATATATTGTTAGTTTCATGATGCTTGTATCTAAACTAAAGTATATCATTTTAAGACTGTTCTATACATCAGTTGGGGTATCTATAAGCTTCAATATGAGGTCCTAAACCTAGCATGAAAGTGCATCCTTGTAGCTGTGTGGGCTACTATAGTCAAAATGTTTGCCTTGGGGTAAGTTGAGACAATAGTTGTGCCAATGACAAGATTAGCAAATTGAAGCATTTTCTTCCCAGGCGTAATGCAAGACATTATCGCTGGGATATGAGGTAACAACAGGGCCTGGCCTATGTTAAAAGTGTTTAAAGAAGTGTTTAGATTAAAGGTGCTACACATATGATTTATTTTTATTTTTGCATTATTAATTTCAGTAATGTATCTGGCACTAATAGTGGAATGATAGTGTTTCACAGTATTACTTACCAGTGGTGGGAAAAGTACCCAATTGTCATAACTGAGTAAAAGTAAAGATACCTTAATAGAAAATTACTCAAGTAAACGTGAAAGTCACCCAGTAAAATACTACTTCAGTAAAAGTATTTGGTTTTAAATATACTTAAGTATTAAAAGTAAATATTATTGCTAAAATATACTTAAGTATTAAAAGTAAAAGTGTAAATCATTTCAAATTCCCTATATTAAGCAAACCAGATGGCACCATTCTCTAGTTTTTTTAATTTCCGGATAGCCAGGGGCACGCTCCAACACTCAGACATAACAAACAAACTGTCACGGTTTCGGCCGAGGCTGCCTCTCTTCCTTGCTCGGGCAGGCTTCGGCGGTCGTCGTCCCCGGAGTACTAGCTGCCACCGTTGTATGTTTCGATGTTCGTTTGGTTTTGTCTTTATGTTGTACACCTGTTATCGTTTAGCGCTCATTATTGTCCTATAAGTTCTCGTTGTGTTTTGTCATGTGTTGTGTGTGATTGCGCTACTGTTGGTTGTCTGTGCTTCATTGTTTCCTCCTCTGTTTGGAGAGGGTTCTCGCACATGTTAGTGCGCATTTTGTTATTTACGCCTGTGTGCGTATTTTCTCGCCTCCGGGCTTTTTTGGCTCGTGTTCTAAGTGATTATTCACTAAAGTCTTTTGGACTAAGTTTCTGCGTCCTGCGCCTGATTCCTGCACCACACCCACCTACAGCACCCACTGACAGAATCACACACCCTAAAGATGGAATCAGCAGGAGCCGCAGCAGCACCTGAGTCTCTGGAGGAACGGGTCCGTGAGCAGAACGATCAGATCCTTCGTATCGGGACCGCCCTTCAGGACGTGATCAACACCCTTCAACGCTGGGAGACCAGAGGGACACCCACAACTCCACCTCCCGTGCCATCACCATCGGCCAGTCAGCCCATTCAAGCTCCGGAACCCAGGGGAATTCGGCTCTCGCTCCCGAGGGCATATGATGGGACCGCTGCCGGGTGTCAGGGCTTCCTTCTGCAGGTGGAACTATACCTGGCCACCGTACACCCGGCGCCCTCGGGACACGAGAGTGTGCCCGCCCTCATCTCCTGTCTTACCGGCAAGGCGTTGGAATGGGCCAACGCCGAGTGGAGGAGAATAGACGCCTCCACTATCACCTACTCTGAGTTCTCCCGCCGCTTCAGGGCTGTGTTTGACCATCCACCTGAGGGGAAAGCGGCGGGGGAGCGTCTGTTCTACCTCCGGCAGGGGAGGAGGAGCGCCCAGGAGTTCGCTTTAGAATTCCGAACTCTAGCGGCGGATGCAGGGTGGAATGAGCGGGCCCTCATAGATCACTACCGCTGTAGTTTACAGGAGGACGTCCGTCGGGAGCTGGCCTGCAGGGATACCAGCCTCACTTTCGATCAGTTAGTGGACATGTCCATCAGGCTGGACACCCTGCTGGCTACCCGCGGACGTTCCGAGGGGGGTCCGTCCATTCCATCCTCCAGCACCTCCGAGCCGAGCCCGATGGAGCTCGGGGGAGCTGGCGCTAGAGAGAGGAGGGGTCGGAGCACGAGGGAGGCCGTCCCCTGCACCAACTGTGGCCGTGGAGGACACACCGCGGCCAGGTGCTGGGGAGGGTCTCCTAGGGGAGAAGACGGCAGGCTCCGCACTGGGGAGTCCTTCCAGGTGAGTAGGCGCCCCACTTACCCAGAGCTCTCTGTTGCGCACTTCTGTCTACCTGTGCGTTTTCCACAGGTTGCACCTCATTCCCAGCATAAGGCGCTAGTAGATTCAGGCACGGCTGGGAATTTTGTTGATCGTAAATGTTGTTTAGAATTAGGGATTCCCCTTCTTCCTGTTAATGTCCCATTCCCCGTTCATGCCCTAGATAGCCGTCCGTTGGGATCGGGCTTGATCAGGGAGGTCACAGCACCACTTAGGATGTGTACGCAGGGGGGTCATGAGGAGATTATCCAACTGTATCTGATCGACTCTCCTGCGTATCCGGTGGTGCTGGGAATTCCCTGGTTGAGTCTCCATAATCCGTCTATTTCGTGGCAGGAGAGGGCTCTGATGGAGTGGTCTGCCCAGTGTGTGGGGCGATGTCTAGGTGTTTCCGTGGGGGCGACCTCGGTGGAGAGTCCAAACCAGGTGCCCGCATTGCACATTCCCCCCGAGTATGAGGATTTGGCTATCGTGTTCAGTAAATCGAGGGCGACGCAGTTGCCTCCTCATAGGCAGGGAGATTGTGCGATAGACCTCCAGGCAGGAGTAGCGCTCCCACGGAGTCATGTGTAGCCACTGTCTCAAGAGAAGAAGAGAGCTATGGAGACTAACATAGACGAATCTCTGAGACAAGGATACATACGGCCATCCACTTCCCCTGCGTCCTCGAATTTCTTTTTTGTGAAGAAGAAGGATGGAGGGTTACGCCCGTGCATTGATTACCGTAGTCTCAATCAGATCACGGTGAAATACAGTTATCCACTCTCGCTGATTGCGACCATGACGGAGTCATTGCACGGGGTGCGTTTCTTCACAAAATTAGATCTCAGGAGCGCTTACAACTTGGTACGCATTAGAGAGGGCGATGAATGGAAGACAGCGTTTAGTACCACCTCGTGTCATTACGAGTATCTCGTCATGCCATACGGGTTGATGAACGCTCCTTCAGTTTTCCAATCATTCGTGGATGAGATCTTCAGGGACATGCAGGGGCAGGGGGTGGTCGTGTACATAGATGACATTCTTGTGTACTCTTCTACCCGAGCCGAGCATGTAGCCCTGGTGCGCCGAGTGTTGAGGAGGCTGTTGGAGCACGACCTGTATGTCAAGGCAGAGAAATGTCTGTTCTTCCAGGAGTCGGTCTCCTTTTTGGGTTATCAGTTGTCTGCGTCAGGGGTGAAGATGGAGGTTGACCGGGTGTCAGCCGTGCGTAATTGGCAGACTCCAACCACTGTTAAAGAGGTGCAGCAGTTTTTGGGGTTTGCAAATTACTACCGGAGATTTATCCGGGGTTTTGGACAGGTGGCAGCTCCCATAACGTCTCTGTTGAAGGGGGGTCCGGTGCGTTTGCAGTGGTCAGCCGAGACGGACAGGGCTTTTGGGAGACTGAAGGACCTGTTTACTTCGGCTCCGGTGCTGGCGCATCCGGATCCCGCTTTACCATTTCAGGTAGAGGTGGACGCGTCCGAGGCCGGTATAGGGGCCGTGCTTTCGCAACGGTCCGGCACGCCACCTAAACTCCGGCCCTGTGCCTTTTATTCCAAAAAGCTCAGTCCGGCGGAGCGAAATTATGACGTAGGGGACAGGGAGCTGTTAGCCGTGGTACAGGCCCTAAAGGTGTGGAGGCATTGGCTTGAGGGGGCTCAACACCCTTTTCTCATTTTGACTGACCACCGTAACCTGGAGTACATCCGGGCAGCTAGGAGACTGAACCCTCGCCAGGCGCGGTGGAACATGTTTTTAGCCCGCTTCGTATTTAAGATCACGTACATCCCTGGGTCACAGAACGGTAAGGCAGACGCACTGTCTCGGCGGTATGACACGGAGGAGAGGTCCGTGGAGCCCACTCCCATACTGCCGGAGTCTTGTCTGGTGGCACCGGTAGTGTGGGAGGTCGATGCTGAGATCGAGCGGGCGTTGCGCACCGACCCTAGTCCTCCTCAATGCCCGGAGGGTCGGACGTACGTTCCGCTCGAGGTTCGGGATCGATTGATCTATTGGGCTCACACGTCACCCTCCTCTGGACATCCTGGTATTGGCCGGACAGTGCACTGCCTTAGCGCTAAGTACTGGTGGCCAACGTTAGCCAGGGATGTGAGGGTTTATGTCTCCTCCTGCTCGGTGTGCGCCCAGTGTAAGGCGCCTAGACATCTGCCTAGGGGTAACTTACAACCCCTGCCCGTTCCACAACGACCATGGTCTCACCTCTCGGTGGACTTCGTCACAGACCTTCCCCCCTCGCAGGGGAATACTACCATACTGGTCGTTGTGGACCGGTTCTCTAAGGCCTGTCGTTTGCTCCCTATGCCGGGTCTTCCTACTGCCCTACAGACCGCCGAAGCTCTATTCACCCACGTTTTTCGGCACTACGGGGTACCCGAGGATATTGTGTCTGATCGAGGTCCCCAGTTCACCTCCAGAGTCTGGAGAGCGTTTATGGAGCGTTTGGGGGTCTCGGTGAGCCTGACCTCGGGTTACCATCCAGAGAGTAATGGGCAGGTGGAACGTGTGAACCAGGATGTGGGTAGGTTTCTTAGATCATACTGCCAGGGCCGGCCGGAGGAGTGGGCAAGGTATGTTCCCTGGGCAGAAATGGCCCAGAATTCCCTACGCCACTCCTCAACCAACCTAACCCCTTTCCAATGTGTGTTAGGTTACCAGCCGGTTCTGGCACCGTGGCAGCAGAGCCAGATCGAGGCTCCTGCGGTGGATGAGTGGGTACGGCGCTCGGAGGAGACGTGGAACGCTGCACACGTCCACCTGCAGCGGGCCATCCGTCGTCAGAAGGCGAGCGCCGATCTCCACCGCAGTGAGGGGCCGGTGTACGCACCTGGTGATCAAGTCTGGCTCTCTACCAGAAACCTGCCCCTCCGCCTGCCCTGCCGGAAACTGGGTCGGCGGTTTGTGGGGCCGTTTAAAGTCCTGAGAAGACTGAACGAGGTGTGTTACAGATTACAACTGCCTAGTGACTATCGTATTAACCCCTCGTTCCATGTGTCTCTTCTCAGGCCGGTGGTAGCTGGTCCACTCCAGGAAGATGAGATCAGAGAGACTCCTCCGCCCCCATTGGACATCGAGGGGGCACCGGCGTACACCGTGCGGTCCATCTTGGATTCAAGACGTCGGATGGGGGGTCTCCAATATCTCGTGGAGTGGGAGGGGTACGGCCCGGCGGAACGGTGCTGGGTGCCGAGGAGAGACATTTTGGACCCGTCTCTCCTGACAGAATTCCACCATAGTCATCCGACGCTCCCTGCTCCGCGTCCTCCTGGTCGTCCCCGAGGCCGGGGTCGGCGCACGGCTGGAGCCGCGCGTCAAATGGGGGGTACTGTCACGGTTTCGGCCGAGGCTGCCTCTCTTCCTTGCTCGGGCAGGCTTCGGCGGTCGTCGTCCCCGGAGTACTAGCTGCCACCGTTGTATGTTTCGATGTTCGTTTGGTTTTGTCTTTATGTTGTACACCTGTTATCGTTTACCGCTCATTATTGTCCTATAAGTTCTCGTTGTGTTTTGTCATGTGTTGTGTGTGATTGCGCTACTGTTGGTTGTCTGTGCTTCGTTGTTTCCTCCTCTGTTTGGAGAGGGTTCTCGCACATGTTAGTGCGCATTTTGTTATTTACGCCTGTGTGCGTATTTTCTCGCCTCCGGGCTTTTTTGGCTCGTGTTCTAAGGGATTATTCACTAAAGTCTTTTGGACTAAGTTTCTGCGTCCTGCACCACACCCACCTACAGCACCCACTGACACAAACGAAGCATGTGGTTTAGTGAGTCCGCCAGACCAGAGGCAATAGGGATGACCAGGAATGTTCTCTTGATAAGTGTGTGAATTGGACCATTTTCCTGTCCTGCTAGCCATTCAAAATGTAACGAGTACTTTGGGTGTCAGGGAAAATGTATGGAGTAAAAAGTACATTATTTTCTTTAGGAATGTAGTGAAGTAAAATAAAAACTTGTCAAAAATATAAATAGTAATATACAGATACCCCCAAAAACGACTTATTAAGTACTTTAAAGTATTTTTACTTAAGTACTTTACACCACTGTTACTTACCTGCCAGTGTTGTGATTGGCTGTGATATTCGCCTATTGATTTCTCCCGCCGGAGCGGAATCTGTTGTCAAACTGAGAAAGCTGTTCTGACTTTGTGGTTGTGTTATCTAGTGGAAATCGATCATTTCCTGGTTGCAAAAATTCTACACTGTTCGCTCAATTTCAGTTTATGTGAGAAAACAAGCACTGAATAGTGTAGTGAATTATTGTACCATCTAAATTAAATATATTTTCAATAACAAAAATATTGCTTTTACAGCTGCTCGAAGCTGGTAGACCAAAACCGCTGTTTGAAGCTGGTGGACCAAAACTGAAAGTAACATTTTGGTCCACAAGCTTCAAACAGCTGTAAAAATGATATTTTCTGTTATAGATTTTTTTTTTTATGATTAAAAGAGAGCAAGCGATTGTGATTGTGTTTGGTAAATAAAGATAGACATGGTTTAAAAAGGTAGTGGTAATATTTCATTCACTACAGAAAGTTGTAGGCGGCTTAACTTGTCATGAGGCTCAATTTACCCCATACCAGGGGTAAGTTGTGCCAAGAGACCACTTTTTTTGGAGAAGCTATGCTTTCAAAACTGTTATGTTTACATGAATTCTGATTATTTCCAGGGATAAACAACATCCTGAAATACAGTATATGTAGATATCTTTGTTAGAAAGAATACTATATTTCCCTTGACGGAGTGATGCTGAATGTAAAAAATGGCTCAACTTACCCCTACAGACTACCGAAAAAGAGATGCGCTACAGACAGTGTGTGGAATCAATCAGCACTCTCTCTCTGCTTGAACACAGTGTTTCAACACAAACAAATGGAGAATAATTCACACCTCTAAGCAAAAAAGCAGTGTTTTGGGGCGGCTACCTTCACTGTACTCCTACTAAACACTTATTAGTATTCTTTGTGTGGTTACTTCCATTACCTACCTTCATTTGACTCACATACAGTGCAGGAGTTATTGTTTCATTCAACTAAAGTTAGTGAAGAGATTAGTGTAGAGTACCTCTGTTCCATTCATCTACACTGAAAATGAGAGAGGGGAGAGCAGCATGGCAGCCTCAAATCCAGGCCCTATCAGTACTCCTGGCCTCTGTTATCTGAGCGTATCCGTTCTCACACACAGAAGAGGCCTGTTCTCTAGACCTTGACAGGCAAAACACCACTCCCTTTCTCACAAACCAGTGGGACAATAAGTTCCACTGTTCCACAGGACTTTGGGGAATATCAGGCTGTTGCCAGGGCCACAATACACCATGTCCAACTCTTATGAGTATCAGTGAGGCCACTGCTAAAGTCATTTCATTGTTATTATTAACATACTAATGTACCTCCTGCTAATAGCTCCCCCAACTTCCCTGACAGGATTACCTCTATCAGAACAGAGCCATCCATATTTAAGCTCTCTAGCTGTGGAGGATCTCTGCATGGGAAAGTGCTCAAACTAAACCATAGGCATTCTGTAACGGTATACCCCCCTGACAGGCAGCCTTAATTTTAACGCCCTCCTCTAAGACATCCTCCCTCCATGTTGATATTCTATGGCACGCTAGCAGATTCCACTGCCTCCATTACAGCAGGAACACATCAGGTTTCAGCACTTTAATGACTAAACCCCCTCAAAATGTGTCTCTCTCTGTCAAACCCGAGCTAAAGCCGATATAGAGTGAGAGCTCCAATTAGATGTACCATAAGGGTGAGCTAATGAGTGACTTAGACTCAGGTTCCCTTAAACAAGTGGAGAGCAGTAATGAGCATGCCAGTGTGCTAGCTACTCATTCAGAGTGTGTCTGTCTGGACAACATGGAAACATATCCAGTTAAAGGGTGAGGGTCAATCTATACCTTGGTTTTATTAAGACTCTTAAGAACAGAACCTCCCGTGTCACTACTTAGGGAAGGCTGCTCTTATTCCTGGAAAAACAGTGAAGTTATGCCGGTCAAAATAGAAGGGCCAGCTTGTGTGGGAGAGAGAGAGCAGCTGGTTTTCACATCCCGCTAGGCTTCAGACTCCAGAGTGCAGACTGTCATGGGCCATTATGTTTTGGTGTTGTACTGTATGAGCATGGCAGATTGTAATTATATGGTAGGGTGGCAGTTGCTGTATCATGTCATCTATGAGTGTATCTTACTCTGAATGTTGGGGCTGTAGGGGTCCTCAATGTGGATGGCAGGGTCCAGAACTCTGTAGATAGCCTGGAGGAAGAAGACGGACAGGACAGGTGGTTGAATGCCATTTTAATGTATGTATGTATACAACTGTAGTAATCCAGTGATCACAATACATTGAAAATACGTATTTTCAATGTATTTTCAAACAAAAATATGTATTTTCAACCAACAATAAGTATTGTCAACGTCTTTCCAACATCTTGTGGTCATAGGGAAGACTGATTTATCCCCAGCCAATCAGACTCACCTCTCCCTCTGTGGACGGCTCAATGTCAGAGTAGCGCGACTCACAGATGACGTCGTCCACTTTGCGCAGGGGACCCTTGGATACCCCGGGGAAGACCGAGTCACAGTCGTAGGCAAAGTAGCGGTACACCTGCCAGTTACGTCCAAAATCTGCAGATCGCTCAATCACCATGGCTGCTGGGCGAAATGTCTGTGTGCCAAGAGAGGGGTGTGATGTGTGATGTGTGTAGTTGCACATTTGAAGACACAGAACATTTGTATATGCTGCATAGATTTGACACACTGTCTAAGGCAGGGGTCTCCAACAGGTCGATCGTGAGTTACCAGTTGCTCACAGCCCACCTACAAGTAGCTCACCAAACAATTCCAAAAGTATATGCAATTTTCACGTGTTCCACTGCAAACTGTAATAAACAAATCTTACAAGTATTAGACACCGCAATTTCCCAGCTACTATCTAAGCAACGCAACATTGACATTATCCCACCCTGGTTAGCCACTATTGGCTTAAAAAGCCAAACCTAACACAATATCTGCCAATTAATTTCTATGAATATTGCCCCTTTCTGTCTGTGTGGTGCAGGCGTTTGTCTATCACTCCATGTGTAGCCAGTTGATGTGATAACCGTCTTGTGGGTTGACAGAAATGGAAAAAAGGGGAATAAATGGTCTTATGATATGATTTATGCATTGACATCAACTCAGAACATCCAATTTCGGTGTTTCTCTATGAATAACTGTAATTTTGAGAGTGAAAAACTCAAAGAAATCTAAAACCAGGAAAAATAAAACTATGAAAACATAATTTGGGAATATATAAAACATAATTTTTGGGGAAGAAATCACAGATTCTATAGGGCCCCCTTAGAGTTGTTTATTAACCATTATTTTCCCATGTATATTGACAGAAATCATAGTGCACTACTTTCTCTTGTACACTAAAGACCCGGGAAGAGTTGCAGGGGAGAGGAGAAGAACGTGCCTATTTGAAAGCTAGAAAGAAAATGAGTAGCTCGCGACATGTTAATCTTTTAAAAAGTAGCTCTCATGCTAGAAAAGGTTGGAGACCCCTGTTCTAAGGGTTACTAAGTGCTCTGTGTCTAACCTTGAAGATCATGATAAGATGAGTAAAATGGAATTCTGCCTCAAGGTCCAGCTGAATGAAGACATCAGGCTTTCCTGAAGACAAAATGAGAGGGATGGAGGAAGAGAGGGAGAGAGAAAGAGAGAGAGGTTATGTCAAGCTTTATGTTGTTGCTATTAAATCTACAATTTATGCACTCAATCAACCTGTCAATCTGTCTGTTACAGGAAATGCAAACCCATGTTTTCACCAGTGATAACTCAACTACCAGCTGTGAGGGAAAACCCTGTCCGTCTTTTGGCTTGAGTAATGGCATCTGAACAGGAAAAAGCATTCTCGTCTTGGCTGGAGATGTGGTCGTCCACATGGGTAATTCCACACACTTCCTGAGCACCATCCATCCTGAAGAACCACTTGAGTTGGGCCATTATTCACAATTAATTGGTAGAGAAGAAGTCTTCAGTTCCAATAGTAGTGTAGGAGGTTCTGCCTTATGCCAAGGGGGCATGTCCCCTTCTAGCAGGTGGAACATTTAACTGCTACAGCATATAAATAACATAATAACCACAGTAAAAAGTCCCATCAGAAATGTCTACATGCCACAACGTAGCTCAAAGGGAAACCTCTGAGAACACCCAAAACACATGCTCATAAAGCTAAGTGCTTTAAGGATCTTTTCCCATATTCAAATGCAGTTTGAAGTGAATCCAAACAGCAGGAAGACAATGATAAAATCCATAACTCAGCACATGAAACAATGAGAGAGGTAATGACAGAGTACAGCTTCCGGGGTGGCACCTCAACATTAACATCACTAGCTATCTACCCCTCAGGGAAGGTTGTGGTGTGGTGTGATGGGAGCCAGGCCTGTGGAAAAGTAACACAATAAAATAAAAAGATATCTGGAAATAACAGAGAGAGAGTCTCACAAATCTTCTGAAGATTCATACAATCATAAACCACCCTGACACACACATACTGTATATACACACAGAGACACATTTGTGAGTAAGAGGTCAAACTGGATGTCGGCCGTAAGGGCTATGAGTCTGTGCTGTAGGCAGTGAACCATTACCTGCACTCATTAATGAAAGGCTCATCAGGAAGGAAACAGAGGGAGAGGAAAGGAGAGGAGGGTGTGTTAGAGCCAATGAGGAGGAGAGGGAGAATGAGGAGGAGAGAGAAGCAAAGAGAGCGAAAGGGCAAGGGAAGGAAAAGAGAGAAAGAACTGGAGAGTGGGAGAGGGGACACAGCGATTATTATTATTTTTTTACCGCTGTTGTGAGGCTTGGCTAATGGAGAGCAATTAGTAACTGGTACACTCCACTAACGGAACCAACCCACTCGCACATCCTTCTTGTAGCCTACTTGGTACCACTTCAAAGTACCACAGAGTAGAAGTGGCCCAAGCTGCTATACAGAACACTGGATAACCCAGCCTTCCACTCCAAGCCCTTTAGGAACTTAGTAAAGGAAGGGGCCTCACACCAGAGAGACACAGGGACTGTGGTCTACACGCATGTAGCACAAGCAGCCCACTGTGCTTTATATCACATACTCTAAAGCCCTGCCAGAAACGCCATGGAGACTGGGAGTAAAAATAGTGACTGTTTCCTGTCCCCCACCTCTCAGTGTTCTACATAGAGTACAGGCAGTGCTATAGTGGTCCACAGTAGTCAATCACTCAGAAATAGACCTGAAATGGGCTTTTGTTTGCAGTGATGTGGGCTCTCATGAACAATGAAGAAGGAGAATTGCTCAGCTGGTCTCTTGAAATAGTTTCTCCAAATCTAATTCTCTATCCCTCCGTCAGCGTACCCCTTCTCTCTTTCTCTCTGACTCCCACTCTTCCTCCGAACCCTTCCCTCCCCACCCTCCTTTCCTCTCTTCTCTTTCTCGTTCCTGTCTTTGTTGGAGTGCCAGGGTACAGCCTGCTCTGTTATTATCCCAATACAAACAGCTGTGGGCCTGTGGCTGGTCTGGGTCTGGTCCAGGCAGAGTATAGTAGGCTACTACAGAGTACAGAGGGTGATTTAGTGTGATGGAGGCTGTGGACCTCTGGGTTTTGAAGGCCCTTCAGAACAGAGCTACCAGAACTCACTGTAATGACTCAATGCGGCTTCCAGGATCCTCGGCCCCCTCTCTCTCCCCCATATCTCACCCTCTCACTACTGCTTCCTCACTCTGTCCTTCTGCCCTTTTCTACTCCACTCATCATCCCTCCCTCTTCCACTCCCCCTCTCTTTCTCAGTCTCTGAACAGACCTGTTATTAATAGTAGTAACCAAGATTAGGCCTCTAATAATACGGCTGATATGGATTCTGTATGAGTTCATACCACTGACAGCTGCATGTGGGGGGCATGTCATGTAACCAAAGGCAGGGGGCAGAAATAGAGGACAAATCTGTTTTAACACTGCTTCTCATAAAATCAAAGGTTCACTATACTTTCTCAAAAGTTGCAACATGGTGAATGATTTTATGTATAATGTTTTAATATCAAACCGTGTATATACATTTAAACATGGATATAATTGCAACCCCTATGAATGCAATCTCAATTCTCACCATTCTCTGACTGCCACCATGACTTCTTGCGGTGTGGTTTGAACGTGGTGATGACGTTCTCAATGCGGTGACTGATGGTGTTGTAGACAGGATCATATGGCCGGCGAGAGTCACACTGGAAACATTTCTTCTCATCCTACAGGGGTCAGAGGTGACACAGGTCAGAGGTTAAACAGAAGCTCAGGACAGAGGGAGGTGAGATGGTAGGTAGGGGGAGTGAGAGGATGTTGGAGACACACAAACACCTGTAAGTGACTGACGATGCAGTAGGGGTCTTTCTTCCTGGAGCCACATGTAGATGATGTCTTCAGGCTCTTCTCACGGCCCACCAACAGGTCTCCTGTTGCCGGGTAACAGCTGCCATGGGTACAGCCGTGGGCGTGGTCTGGCTCCCGGGCGCTGGCATATGCCAGGGCTGGAGAATAAAGAGGAGGTTAACAAAAGGACAGGAAACAACATCACAGCTGAGTCACTTAGAGTGAAGAAAAAAAGATGATTGTTTAGCTAGATGGATCACTCCTCTGTGTTAGAAAACAAATCACTCTCTATCTCTCTCTCTCTCTCTTTCTAAGACATTACAGGGCCATGAACTCTAATCAGTACAGGAAAAGGACGTCAAGAGAGGAAGTAAGCCTATGTTTAATCCTGAGACCAAAACAGAGCCCAACAAAAGTTGCTGCTAGCCCACCTGCAGCTCAACAGTCAATGTTTAATTAATAGGAGTAACAATGTTTTAAAAAAAACAATTAGAGAGATGATCATTTGGGGAATCTGTTAGCAGTGCCTCACTCTCCTGGAGTCCAAAACGGTTGACCTGACATGGGGCCCTACAGCCGCTAAATCTGGAAACAAACCCATAGGTCAACAGGGAGGTCAACGAGGCCAGGTTCTGACAGCACAGCAGGAAAGTGTGTATGCGTGTGTGTGGGCATGTGAGCTTGTGTGTGTCTCTGTGTGTTAGTCTGTGTGCATGCATTTTCGTGTGCGTGTGACTCGATGGATGAACTGTGTGTGGGGTGTTTGAAAATAACCCAACAGTCGTCAAGCATTCCAGTCAACATCCTGAAATATATTCCTAGTGAAGTGCCAGTGGGACGTGGAGACGCTCAGTCTAAAGAGCAGGGCCAGGGAGGGGGTCTGACAGGGTCTTACTGAGAGGCTCTGTCTGTCTGTCTGTCTACAACAGGTGTGTCTAAGGCACTCTATAGATACAGGAAGCAAAAACATGCAACACAAACAGAGATAAATACGTACACGATGAATCAACATTCAGTATTCTGCTGCATATTATGATTTTAGGACTGCTTTGGATTGTGAGTCTCCTAGGAAAAGTCCTGAGGAGATTTCACAGAGATGACCAACATAAACATGACACTCTCTAGAGGAGACCTGTGTTTGCCTGGCAAACAGACTCACACTGGTACCACTGCCAGGCACCAAACACGCACGCACGCTCACAAAACACACACAAAACACACACACACACACACACACCACAGTGATACACTTGCCATTCAGTCAACACATAATAATGACTATACCTTAGAAAATGCCTAGATCATATGTTTCCTATGCCAACAGTGCATTTGTGTAGACAGACAATGATGGGAAGATGTGAAACACTTTTCTTTGAGCAAGGATAATATCACTTCAATACTGTTATCTGAATGCTGTAGTAATGTTATCTCAGTTCCCTTTCCTGTTGCCAGGAAACCTCACTGTGGTAAATCAAGCTAGGCCTGTGTAATTATGCTGTAACCCCAACATTCTGCCCTCAACAATTACTTAGCCAATCAACAATAGAAAAACAAGAGAGAAGCAAGACTTTAAAACAAGAGCAAAAACAAACTAAATGGCCTGAGACATAACTGCACAATAAACTTTTCCTTCTTTTTTCTGCAAAGGCTATAGTCTTTGGTCATGAGGGGTATATAGAGAGGAGGGGGGAGATAGAGAGATAAGAGACAGAGTGAGATGTGAAAAGGAAAAGGAAGCGAGGGAGAGAGAGAGAGATGGATAAATACAAAGCCTCTGTAGAGACATTGAGAGGACTCATCCAGGCGCAACATGATATCTATTTTGGTTGTTGGCACACACTCAAAGGTGTGTGTATAGTCTGTAAAGAGCGGAGATGGAAGGGGGGGGGCTGATGTACAGACTATAATTTCAGGGCCTCTCCTAAACTCTTTTATCTTGTCTCTGTCTTGTCTGTCTCTGTTAGAGAGCTTTCACAGACCTCCTACACCCCTGTCCCAGTCCCTGGACAGAGGCTGAGGGAGTTGACATCACAGTCCCTCCAGAACACAACAAGATTGGCTCACCAGGTTATATACAGTTTAACATCAGTCAACTGAAAGCCTTTTTACATTTCAGTATTTATTTCTCAAGGGTGAGAGTTATTTTGATCAAAGCACAATGTATGAGAAGCCTATTTGATGATTAACCACCCTCTTTCTGTCAAGTAAGTCATACAGAAATTGGTTTGACCAAATGACATTCCCACTTGATGCTTTAATAACAAGCATATTTGGAATGTTTGATTTCAACCAGGGAGGATGGAGAGGGAGGGTTGACTAAGTAGCAGTGTGACCATCTCATCTCAGCAGCTCACTCTTACTCTCTGCCATTCTCTTACCCATACATGGACAGGCAGTGAGGAATGCAGGCTGATCAGCTGAGAGGGAGGCGTACCTCCGAGCTAACAAAGTCTAGCCTAGCCACATACCAGGAGAGGTTGTATTAGCCTAGCCACATACCAGGAGAGGTTGTATTAGCCTAGCCACATACCAGGAGAGGTTGTATTAGCCTAGCCACATACCAGGAGAGGTTGTATTAGCCTAGCCACATACCAGGAGAGGTTGTATTAGCCTAGCCACATACCAGGAGAGGTTGATTTAGCCTAGCCACATACCAGGAGAGGTTGTATTATCCTAGCCACAGACCAGGAGAGGTTGTATTAGCCTAGCCACATACCAGGAGATAGCAGAAGTGAGCTTTGCCACAAACAAGAGATACTGCTGTACAAGCCTACTGTTCAACGTAATGCTAACAAGAAGAAACATCCTCCCCTTTTTGGCAGAAATAAAGAGATCAAATCCATTAAATGTGCTCTAAACTGACCATCATTATAAATCTCAGTCAACATGCTGTTCCATTTTGAGTGATTCTCTCCTCTGCCCTGGGCTATAACTGGAACTCCACTGCACTATGCACTACTAATGTGGTTTATTATGTGTATAATAATAGTTATTTCCATGTCTTCCCAAAACAAGTGTAATGAGTTTGGATTGGACAGCTCCCAGCATCCTCTCTGTTCTACATTCGGCCTTGCCAAGGCTAATCTCCCTGTAATGGCCTGGACCACTACACAAAGAGAGGGTGCTTCTTTCGGAGCGCGATCTACTCGCCTAGAGCGAGTAGCAGCGAGAGATGGAGCTCTATAAGATTAATGCGATTGTAGCTGCTGATCGTGGGAGGGACGAGAGAGAGAAGAGAGGAGAGCGAGCGATGCGAGAGCGCGCGCGCGAGGAGAGATACCTGGTATTAAGTAATTATCTCTCTATCGCTCTCTCTCTCTATCTCTCTTGTCTCTCTCTCTCTCTCTCTCTATCTGCTCTCTCTCTATCTACTCTCTCCTCTCTCTCTCTCTCTCTCTCTCTCTCTCTCTCTCTCTCTGGTAGTACTGTACTATAAGCGTCTATGTGAAACCCCACTGCCTGTTCTGGCGCACTCTGGAGAGATGGGATTAACACTGCTGTGCCTGTCAGCTTTGTTACACAGCTGCCTGCCGCCAAGTCACTTTCTTCTGTTTCTTCTCCTTTTCCTCAACTTTCAATAAAGGTTCTGGCACTTTGTTTTCCTAGGTAGGCTTAGGTGGAGGATTGTTAAGAATGAGACAACCAGTCATTGTCCCCCAGAGTTAGAGGAACAGGGACATGACATGTTACTGCTTTGTGTTAGGAAAGAGACAGGAGGGATGGCGATGTGACATCAAGACGACACATTCCAATCTGACTGGGTGACAGAGACGAGAAAGAGTCTGCTCTCAGCATCTTCCTAGGAGTAAACATTGGAACCAATCATGAAGACAAACACACTCGCATACAGTACACAAATACACAGACACTCATAAAAGATTAAAGGGAGATTTTTACCCCCAAAAATGACAGCTTTGGAGATTATGCTACTGTACATCTAGAACACTTGTTTTCAGGATAGTTGATGGCAGCATTTTGAGCTTTTGGAGCAGCTTGCGTGTGAAGCGAGGAAACAGAATCAGAATAGCACTGCAGACAGGCAAACGTCCCTACATGGCATACAGTACCTGACCTGAATGTGCGTGTGGCTTTGAGAGAGAGCACAGATAAGTATAGAACTGGCCCAGAGCAAACTAGCCTCCACAGGGCAGGAGAAAGTCAACAGCCTTTTATTTTTAAACCCTCCCGCTAATTAGTTTACATTCACTCTATCCTCCTCTCTTTCCCTCCTCTCTCTCTCTCTCGCTGATCTCTTCTAATGAACAGTCTACTCCCACATCCAGAGAAGGGCGACTCTCTCCTCCTTCCTCTCCTCCCTTGCAGCATGGACTTCTGGGAATCTCACTTCAGATCGTGATTCCCCGGGGGAGAGAAGAGGTGTCACAGGCAGGCAGGCAGATTGGCCGATCAGGGATGGAAAGCAGAACTCCTAGACTCCGAAAAAGTTGTGGCCATCGGTACCGCAGTGCTGCGCTGAAAGAGCCTAGGCCTGCCTCGTTACTTACCCAGCCGTAGGAATAACTAAGTCTGCCACTGAGAAGCATCTGCTCCTGCTGGATGTAAAATACTCTGGTACTTCCACCTCGGGAAAAAGTTGCGGGCCACCAGACAGGTGGGCATGAGAGACCAATGCTGGATACACAGCTGTTGCCCATAACGTAAAGCCCCAGGTCTCTGACTCGTCTCCAAAGTCCTATGATAGCCCCAGACCCCTGCCATACCTCCCATCCCCTATGGTACTCCCAGGTCCCAGACCTACTCCCAGCCACGAGCTCCTGGCCATGTTGCTGAGTCTAACTCTAAGGGGCAGTTAGACACACGTGCAGCAGATGTTGGGTGCAGCCAGCCAGTCAAGTGGCTGTGGGTTTGATTTACGTACTGATTAGTGCGCTTGATTTGCCTCCTTACCAGCTGGAGTGATGAATGGAGATTCACTCAACTTCTCCACTGGATCATGAGACCGAGCAGATGTGAACATGAGCTAATTACACTCACTCACACAAATGTGTTTCTACTTAGAAAGTACATAGGGGATTTGTAATTTTGTTATATTCCAAGTGTCCTCCAGTCTCCTGATACATTTTATCAGGGAGACAATCAAAGACTTTTGTGTAAATCTGTTTGGTATTTCAATCGATTTCCTGTACAATCTTTGAATAACTTCAGGATTAGGTCAAGTCTGTTCTGTTCAGTGTGTGTGTGTGTGTCTGTGTGTGTGTGTGCACATTTATGCATGCGCTGCACAGGCCCAAAAGTGTGTGTTTGTGTGTGTATGTGTACCGTACATTTGAGCCTGAACATGCCTCCATTCATATGTGTGACGGTAGGAAGCCATTTCTCTTTCCCCTTCAGTTGAACCAAGACGAACAGCTAACCCTTCCTATCCCTTGAGACACAGAGGAATGACCTGGGTAAGGCAGGGGTCTGACATCCAGAACGCCAGACCATTCCTGCCATTTCTCTACAGGTATCCCCAGAGACAGTGAGATGAGTAATGGAGCAGGGAAGAGCTAAGAAATCTCACTTCCAGATGACTGGAACATACCTTTGGCCTATAGGGGAAGACGCACACCTTCTGGCCCCATTCAGAATTTCACGTAACCCAAATCCACATGTAATGCCAAACTAAGCCAGCCAACCCAGCTCTCCCTATGGAGGTCTCTTTATATCAGTCAATAACAGGTGAGCACTGACCTGTCTTTTTATGACCACACATAGAGCTCATCTGGGTTTAAATGTGAGTGGTTTTACGAGGCAACTGTCTGTCCCTGTGATTATAACTGGGGCAGTGGAGACTGGAGACTGTGCAGGAAGAGGGAGGGCGGTGTTAGTGGGACACTAGTTGACTGACCATCCCCCTCAGGCTCCATGCAATGAACTTCATGGTCACTCTTAAAGCGGAATCAGCAGTATGTACAGTCGTGGTCAAAAGTTTTGAGAATGACACAAAAATGTATTTTAACAAAGTCTGATGCCTCAGTTTTTATGATGGCAATTTGCATATACTCCAGAATGTTATGAAGAGTGATCAGATAAATTGCCATTAATTGCAAAGTCCATGAAAATGAACTTAATCCCCAAAAAACATTTCCACTGCATTTCAGCCCTGCCACAAAAGAACCAGCTGACATCATGTCAGTGATTCTCTCATTAACACAGGTGAGAGTGTTGACGGGGACAAGGCAGGAGATCACTCTGTCATGCTGATTAAGTTAGAATAACAGACTGGAAGCTTTAAAAGGAGGGTGGTGCTTGAAATCATTGTTCTTCCTCTGTTAACCATGGTTACCTGCAAGGAAACACGTGCCGTCATCATCGCTTTGCACAAAAAGGGCTTCACAGGCATGGATATTGCTGATAGTAAGATTGCACCTAAATCAACCATTTATCAGATCATCAAGAACTTCAAGGAGAGAGGTTCAATTGTTGTGAAGAAGGCTTCAGGGCGCCCAAGAAAGTCCAGCAAGCGCCAGGACCGTCTCCTAAAGTTGATTAAGCTGCGGGATCGGCACACCACCAGTGCAGAGCTTGCTCAGGAATGGCAGCAGGCAGGTGTGAGTGCATTTGCACACACAGTGAGGCGAAGACTTTTGGAGGATGGCCTGGTGTCAAGAAGGGCAGCGAGGAAGCCACTTCTCTCAATGAAAAACATAAGGGACAGACTGATATTCTGCAAAAGGTACAGGGATTGGACTGCTGAGGACTGGGGTAAAGTCATTTTCCGATTGTTTGGGGCATCCGGAATAAAGCTTGTCCAGAGAAGACAAGGTGAGCGCTACCATCAGTCCTGTGTCATGCCAACAGTAAAGCATCCTGAGACCATTCATGTGTGGGGTTGCTTCTCAGCCAAGGGAGTGGGCTCACTCACAATTTTGCCTAAGAACACAGCCATGAATAAAGAATGGTACCAACACATCCTCCAAGAGCAACTTCTCCCAACCATCCAAGAACAGTTTGGTGACGAACAATGCCTTTTCCAGCATGATGGAGCACCTTGCCATAAGGCAAAAGTGATAACTAAGTGGCTCGGGGAACAAAACATCGACATTTTGGGTCCATGGCCAGGAAACTCCCCAGACCTTAATCCCATTGAGAATTTGTGGTCAATCCTCAAGAGGCGGGTGGACAAACAAAACCCCTCAAATTCGGACAAATTCCAAGCATTGATTATGCAAGAAAGGGCTGCCATCAGTCAGGATGTGGCCCAGAAGTTAATTGACAGCATGCCAGGGCGGATTGCAGAGTCTTGAAAAAGAAGGGTCAACACTGCAAATATTGACTCTTTGCATAAATTTAATGTAATTGTCAATAAAAGCCTTTGACACTTATGGAATGCTTGTAATTATACTTCAGTATACCATAGTAACATCTGACAAAAATATCTAAAAACACTGAAGCAGCAAACTTTGTGAAGACCAATACTTGTGTCATTCTCAAAACGTTTGACCACGACTGTATATACTGTATATATATACACACTATATATACAAAAGTATGTGGACACGACTTCAAATTTGTGGATTCGGCTATTTCAGCCACACCCATTGCTAATTCTTCAAGAATCAATGGGTACATACAGTGAGGGAAAAAAGTATTTGATCCCCTGCTGATTTTGTATGTTTGCCCACTGACAAAGAAATGATCAGTCTATAATTTTAATGGTAGGTTTATTTGAACAGTGAGAGACAGAATAACAACAAAAATGTTATAAATTGATTTGCATTTTAATGAGGGAAATAAGTATTTGACCCCCTGCTCAAGAAAGCCCATATACATGCCCGTCTGAAGTTTGTCAATGAACATCTGAATGATTCAGAGGAGAAGTGGGTGAAAGTGTTGTGGTCAGATGAGACCAAAATCGAGCTCTTTGGCATCAACTCAATTCGCCGTGTTTGGAGGAGGAATGCTGCCTATGACCCCAAGAACACCATCCCCACCGACAAACATGGAGGTGGAAACATTATGCTTTGGGGGTGTTTTTTTGCTAAGGGGACAGGCCAACTTCACCGCATCAAAGGGACGATGGACGGGGTCATGTACCGTCAAATCTTGGGTGAGAACGTCCTTCCCTCAGCCAGGGCATTGAAAATGGGTCGTGGATGGGTATTACAGCATGACAATGACCCAAAACACACGGCCAAGGCAACAAAGGAGTGGCTCAAGAAGAGGCACATTAAGGTCCTGGAGTGGCCTAGCCAGTCTCCAGACCTTAATCCCATAGAAAATCTGTGGAGGGAGCTGAAGGTTCGAGTTGCCAAACGTCAGCCTTGAAATCTTAATGACTTGGAGAAGATCTGCAAAGAGGAGTGGGACAAAATCCCTCCTGAGATGTGTGCAAACCTGGTGGCCAACTACAAGAAACGTCTGACCTCTGTGATTGCCAACAAGGGTTTTGACACCAAGTACTAAGTCATGTTTTGCAGAGGGGTCAAATACTTATTTCCCTCATTAAAATGCAAATCAATTTATAACATTTTTGACATGAGTTTTTCTGGATGTTTTTGTTGTTATTCTGTCTCTCACTGTTCAAATAAACCTACCATTAGAATTATAGACTGATCATTTCTTTGTCAGTGGACAAACTTACAAAATCAGCAGGGGATCAAATACTTTTTTCCCTCACTGTATCCTTAATTTATAATTCCAAAAATGGATGTAGCAACTGCAGGTTGCTTTAAATACAGGTGTGTAAGTAACTGCCTTCGAGTGTTTTTTAACGAGACGCATGACAGAACCTGTCATTATACAAAGAGCTTGGCTGTAGATCCATACAGCGGTGAGATGAAGAGGCAGAAGCTGGATAGGCCTGGAGGGGCCACACAGTCCAGGCTTTCTCCTCTCCTCCCCAGGGGCCTTGTCTGTTCTGTTTCTCAGAGTAAGATTAGAAGAGAAAGCAGCCCATCAGAGTATGTAGAGGAAATGCTTCTTTCCTAGCAAAAGGGTATTTGCAGAGTAGAGGAACAGCTAACGGGAACACCGTGTGCACTGTGGTTAAAGCTTGAAAAACACACATGATCTTATTTGGTTTTCACATGCAAGCCCACAGCAAGATGGGGCTATGGCCATCAATCAGTGGAGAGAGTAAGGGCAAGGTAGAACAAATAGAAATTCTAACCTTCATTCATACACCCACTGTTTCAAGTGAAAACTGGTAGGAAGCAATCCTAACTTTTACGTGACGCATTGTGTTTACACTCTTAACTTCAAGTGCACTCATGTTATACACAACCTCATACACTGAGTGTACAAAACATTAGAAACACATGCTCTTTCCATGACAGGCTGACCAGGTGAATCCAGGTGAAAGCTTGATCTCTTATTGATGTCACTTGTTAAATCCACTTCAATCAGTATAGATGAAGGGGAGGAAAAAGGTTAACCTCTTAAGGATCTGACCCTTTTTTTCCAAGTTTTGCTTAAAATGACATACCCAAATCTAACTGCCTGTAGCTCAGGACCTGAAGCAAGGATATGCATATTCTTGATACCATTTGAAAGGAAACACTTTGAAGTTCGTGGAAATGTGAAATTAATGTAGGAAAATATAACACATTAGATCTGGTAAAAGATAATACAAACAAAAAAACATGTGTTTTTTTGTTCTATAATCTTTGAAATGCAAGAGAAAGGCCACAATATAATATTGAAGTTTAGGCGCAATTTAGATTTTGGCCAGTAGATGGCTGCAGTGTGTGTGCAAAGTTTCAGATTGATCCAGTGAAGCATTGCAATACTGGACTATTTTGTATCAAGTCTGCCCAAACGTGCTGAATTGGTCCATTG